CCACCCACCCCCCCTCCAGCCCCCCCACTGCCCCGCCCTTAACCTACTTGAGATTAGCGGATATTCAGTACTTTTTGTGGAGTGCCGCCATTCTATAGAGATATGTAGTAGAGATCCGGATATGGGGAAGGGCTGGTTTGGTTCTTTGACTTGGCTGTAGGGGGATGCGCTGCAAGGTCGCGAGTACCATGCATCATAGCACGATGAAACCGCGCTATGGAAACCACCACGATACGGATATTCTCAGATAGCACTTCAGCTTTGACGAGCATCTGATCTGGGTGTATATTACTAGACGGTTTGTCTATTAACTTGCTGTATCCTGGGAAGTCCAGGAGGATAGTTGAGCAATTTCAAGCACACTTTATCGGCTGCAGTGGCTCACTGCGTTATTGGACGGGAAGAGGATTGCCTTAGCTAAAGTGAACAGATAAACCTTGAAAAAGTACAGATCCCCAACGAAATGCGAAAATGGGGGTAGTTTGGTTTTTTGCCGACGGGGATAAGAATTTCACCTCCAGAACATCAAATGGGGGGCGAACGAACACAAACGTAGGGAGTAGCAAGACACAAACGCATTAGTAAGGGGTCATAGTTGCAACGGGAAGCCACACAGAGCAGCATCTGTACAGAAGGACTATCAGCAGGTGCATATCTCCAATCCGTTGCGGTGTAGGAGATTGACTTTATGTAAAGCTGGCGCCGCGCACGAGGTGCAGTTTCGTTGCCCCTTACTGAACTACCCTTGAATTCTAGGTATAACCGTAGGTTTTCAAATATCATTGTGGCAGAGAAAACAGGAAGATGTAGTAGAGGGTCTTTCTCAGTTCTGTCAGAGCCATGGTGACTGTCTGCGCTACACAGAATATCTTCCAGCCACCTTGTCAATTATCTGCCGTTTGGTGTCAAGCCGAAGAAGCACTTTGTGCTTTACAAGTTTCTCTGAATCTGGAAATAACAACTCTATTATGAGCGGATACTCCCCTCGGGAACGCTGTTGGATATATATGCCTTCTGTAAGGAGCCACGTGCCAATAGAGCCTACTAGTGCATGAGGGCTGCACGGCAGGGATACTAGCGAGCCTTTTCGAATCAACCGATAAACAATGCGCATAAATGCGTGGGAATATTGCCAAGGCAGCATGGGCTTAAAGTTTAAGTGCAGTAAAATTGCGGCAACGCTGCAGTCGGGATGTCTAGCATTAACAGTAGAGGACGACTCTGAACCATTTATACAATATGATTTGTCAGCATATGATACTCTGCAAAGGTAAAGCATGATCCCTGCTCGAAGATACTGGAGATAAGCAAGTGCTGTGCACTAGTTGCTGGCCACTAAACGTCCCTTGCTCAGGCACGTTGCACAACCTGGCAGCAAGCCCTTGGAGGCTAGTGAAAGGTATTGTTGCGGTGCTTTTGGGCAGCAGTATACCTTGACGAAGCGGAAGTATGCTGCCGCGACGTTCGGGAAGTGGCCTTTGAAATCCACAATGAGAGGTACGCACGCCTCATCCGTCACGGTCAGCATTGATGGCTCCCTAGTGACGTCAGTGATACTGCAGCTGCCATTTATTCACACTTTGTCTGTTAATCTAAATCTTGAGGAACATGGTGTAGTGATCAGAAACCACAACCAAATATTACGACAACGTTCTCAATAACGTCTAAATGTGTTTAAGTTCCGCCATAGCGTTGCTGGGATGGTAGCTCTCCAGCAATTTATCATTAAGGCATAGCATCAGTAGGGACAAAATTTATTAGTCTTTTAGTTTATAGTAGTCATCTAGTTTTATGGCTTTAGTTATTGTCGCATCAAGCCAAGGCAGCCCACAGGCGCACTGCTGCCTCCTGGCTTTTCAGCACCTGCTTTCAGCGTACTGCATGTATTACAATTTTCCCTCCATTTTAAGAGGTTCGCTTTTGTTGGTCTCAGTGTCAAACTTCAAAGCATACGGAGTTAACAGCTGCATCTATCTACTGTGGTGCATCTCCCCTTTGGGACCGATTAATGAACAACTAGTTTTCCTTTGAAGCCTATCGGGAGCTTCAAATTCGATGCATTGCCGGCAGTTTGCTCTTGGTGAGCAGTTGATGCCCTAATCTTGAAGTGAAAGAAGGGCAGCTACCCCGGCCTTAATGGGCACATCAGGGGGGTCGAAACACTGAAGCTCAATGCTAGTGATGTAGTTCGTCGAATGCCCTGTTGTGGAAAGTGTGCCCTTGCGACTAGGTACCTTGTATAAGGGGCACATATAAATGGTTTTAGACTCATGCACGCGATCTTTTTGGGGTAGGAACCACACCACTGGGAGCTCCTCAAACAGCACCTTCGACCGTGAAGGGGCCTGCAAAGAGAAAGGAATACATGAGGGAGGGGGCGGGCCAGCTATTGCTTCGCAGTAGCAGTGAAGTTAAGTGCTGTCTTAACACAACCCCGCTCCTTTTCGAGTAGGCAATGACTGAGATGAGACTGAAAACGGCAAACCCGCTTGACATGTTACTAACCAGCGTTCCTCTGTCTGCATCCCATCGGCAACCTTCCAAGAAAATGCCATGAACCAAGCACCCGTCTTCTGGAGCTTTTCCAACCGAAGATCCATTTGTATCCCTTAGCACAGTGTATGCGAACGAAAGCCTATCGACTGCAACGCGGTACTTTCGTGCATAGTTTTGAAGCACGCCCGTTAGAAACGCCTGCGCATAACAAGCAATGTCTTCACTGAATTCTCAACTTAAAGTCCTCAGCGTCTCATCTCTACTATTTTTCGGCAGATTCAAGATGCTGCCGTAAGGTGTCTTGCCTGAGGGAAAAAAAATCCAGACATCCAGTAGCATTTGGGTGGGCCTTGGTCAATCCAGGAGTTAAGGAAAGCAAGCCTAGCTATTAGGTCCTTAAACCATGAGCCTAGAGGCTTCATAGAGACAAAGCCTCTATCAGACCACACTTTCGGAACCTACACAGTTATCACAGGGGACAGAATAAACAGCGGTACGTATAGCTTACGACCACAACAACCAAATATTCTTGTTGGAAGCATGTGGTGAGCGAAATTGGTTGCGCTCGCAGGTGATGCTCGTGCGTTTACAAGAGTGGAGCGCCATCTCAGTACCTGGTTATCGAAGAGAGCGGCTGACACCTTCTCCAATTCCTCCGTCATCACTATTCTGCCCCTTAGTGCAAGCTGTAGGTCCTTCATCGTCTTATTCATGATTGCTATCAACCCATTGTATCTGAACGCCAGATAGTATTGACTCATCTCCAAATCATGGTGAGGGTCGAACTCGTTCCCTCTTTTTAACCGTGTCTACTAATAACGGGCTAGCAGTGGCGGCACCACCCTGAGGGCAGCTGATAGACAAGTAGCAGGCTTGGCCGGAGATGACAAAACACTTTTGCTCATGTGGGATGCCGCTCACCTTATGGCCTCTTGCACCACCACTGTATTCATGGATTCGTCGTAGCGAGTAGGATACTTATGTTGAATAGCTTCTATGTCGAATAAATCTGGCAGAAGAGTTTGCACATGAGCGGCAAGTTCGGAAATGGCAGACTCACGGCACGCCGAACCAGCCGAACTGCTTCGTGGTGTCATGGATAATATGCCGTCGAGCAGCTCCTGAATACATTCGCGTTGAGATTCACCTCGAGCATTGGAAAGCATGCTCTAAAAAGCGAACGGATAGGACACACGAAGAGGAAATGCTGATCAACCGTGGGCAGGCATTGCGGCAGAATTGTTCCGATGCTTGTGTCTGCGGCCTACCTTCCCCTCCATTTGGGCGCAGTTGATGTTCGCATTCTCATGTAGGCCAAATACTTCAGGCTGGGCATTTGCGGGTAATGATGTAATATATTTCTGAAAGCCTTCGACGTCTTCTTCATCAGGGCAGTAGTAAATTCCCGACTTTGAAAATTTATAAGCTGCACCCTGGGCGAGAAAACCCAGCATACAGGAGGACCCCAAAGCTCTTCCGTTTAATCGGATGGAAGCAAAAGATACCTTTATGCAATAAACATGCCTTACCTCTTGAATGAGTTTTTCGTTTATGTACGTATGAAGAATGAAGTCAATGAGCCGCTTGTCGTTCGCATCAGTGACACGCCCACCATAGTTTATGCGAGCCCCCAGAAAACGAAGAACCTGACGGAAGATGACAACAACACGACTTGCTGCTCCTCTCCGGATAGTATTTTAGATTTAGATATGGCCTCGAGGTGCAACTAGCACTGAGCGTTCGGTGGTTGTTGGCAGACGTCAACCCCCCAAGCCCACCTTGAAAGGGATTGTGTCACTTGCATCAAGGAAAATTTTTAGTTGCCTTTGGCACACGACAAGATCATCTTGAGTAAATTCGTAGTGAATATTCCATCCAATTGGCCCGAAACGCCGGCGTTCCTAGTTCGCACAAAATCAGTCACTGTACCACAGTTTGCCAGAATGGGAAACAGCAAGGCAACCGGCTGCAACAAAGGTTAAGAGGGCAGGCTAAGACAGTGAAACCGTCTTCGACACAGTCATGAAGCACCAGCGCCGATTTACAGCTTGGGCCTACCTACCTGCACTACAGCATGAAAGAAGCAAAATGCGAAAAAGAGTCTTTTGAAGTGAGAAGGATGCTGCGTTGCGTTGAGTTGCCGGTTATCAATGCCAGCGTAGAGTCTCTGCAAGTTTGCCTTGAGCCCTTTAGGGGGCTCATTCGTCATTTTCACTCCGTTCTGTAGGACGGAAACTGGGAAGGATGACGATGGCATAGACGTTAACCACAACCTGGCATAAACGTATGGAATAGAGGTGATCGGTTTTACAGTGGAAGACGTTATCAAGATTTTGGGGGTGCGTGTAATCGGAAGCCAATGTAAGTATCATCATCATGCTCTACCCATGAGGTTAATGCGCCGAACCTAAAATCGCGGTGTACTTCTTCGGGGTTCCACTGCTCGCATATACGTTCAAGCTCATTCATCCACGAAGATGCAAGATGGCAGTTTTGCAACAGTACCCATCCTCCCCGACTACATCCTTCTTCAATAAGCTTCGCTGCTTTGGGTCCCTGGCCTTGTCCTGTATGTAATGGAGCCGGGAACCCATTGACACTTAAGGAAAGAAAATAACTGCAGAGATCGGGAGTTGTACACTTATTCTAAAAGGGAGATATATTGTGAATAGCAATGCCTGGAAGCGCGTGACATTTCCAGGTACTGATAGCACCGGTGACTTTATGCACTATATTTTTACCTAATGAAATTGACTCAAACCGTCTGCTCATCTTCATCTCCTTTGCGAAGGTATGGAGCTCAGAAACGGGATCGGAGCCTTGTGACAGAATAAAAATTAACGGTGTCTGCGAGGTGGAATCTTTATAGCACTGGGTCAAGTCGAATGGCGGCGGGTCCAGAAAACGAACTCCTAGTTCCGAAGCCACGTAGCTGCTTGCAGCAGCTGTTAAGGAATCCATGCGGAGAATCCGGAGGATGCACATTTTCTGAAGGATGAAAGAGTGCGTAGCCACCCACCAGGAGTTACCCCGTTGCCTCCTTCCCAGGGTCGAGGAGTCAGGAAAGCAAAATACCACGCAACTAGGCGTCTGCATGCTTTGCCCTATGGAGGCACACCTGAATCGAGTTCAGGCCCTGCCACCGGCCAGGCATGGGTTCTTGATCGGCTTGAAGTGAATCAAAGACCCGTCTAAAGCCTTCTTCTTCCCGTTGGAACGAGTCATCCAGCCCCTCAAACGCTTGTAGATGTGAAAGTTCGCATATTGCTTGCCACTGCTTTTCTGTGAGCCATGATATAGGATTCTGTTTGTTGCCTGATGCAGCTACAGTTCCGGTGAGGAGAAAACGTAGTTCTGCAGGGTCTACTGGAGTCTTTGCTTGCACCTGCTCAGCCAAAGGTTTCTTGGATCGATGTGAGGCAGATGTCTTCCAGCAATCCCAAGCGCACGACACTAATTGCACTGTCCAAAGCTATGCCTCTACAGAACAGATGTAGTGGCCGTGGAACTGCCGTGGTTACCAGCCACTTTAAGCATTTATCGCATGACTATTACTTTATGGATGAAGCGGGCCTTACTCGCAAGCTGAGAGCGAACGCAAACAGAAGCTTGTGCCTCACAAAGAGGGATCTAGAGACATTTTGATACACCAAGTAGGAAAGGTGGTCCACCAGCAACTGAGTACGCTGCTCGACATTTGGTGTTGTGGGGGCCTTAAAAGAATGCATTCACAACAACGATGCTGCTGATTCCTGTTGGAGGCGGTGTGGGCACCAAAGGCGGCTCGGTGGTTTAGCACAACAGGGCAGCCTGCTTAGTCTTACTGGGACCTCGAAGGCAAGATGTACACTGCAAGGAGTACAAATTTGTCTGAGCTGAACCTTGCTGAGTAGCCGTATTGCAATGACAAAGCCCAGACTATGCTAGTTGGTGTATCAAAACGTCTCTAGATCCCTCTTTGTGATGCACAAGCTTCTGGCTTCTGTTTGAGTAGTACCGGTAATCCTTACCTCGCTGATGCCAATGGAGACTAAGTTTTGGAACCACTGCTGGGAATACTGATACATAGGCTCAACGCAAGCCAATTCGACCAGGCTGAAGAAAAGTTGGCTGCAGCGGGCTGCTACTTTTCTGTAGCACTGCCTGAATAGAAAATAAGCAAGTAAGCACTGTTTTGTTTGGGATTGTGCTGGTATCCAATTACGTCCTCGGAAGGGGGAAAGAGCTGGAGAGCACACCGTGCTTCGTCAATCTCGCGCTCGGTCAATTCTGCCTCCTGAACCTTTTCTTGGATTTCCTCAGACGTCTGCTTGGATGCGGACAGGGTATTCAGAAGGACTTCATCATCCAAGATGTTCCCTTGCGACTGTGACATAACCTGAAGGATTTTGTCTTGGAGGTCTTGTAGCTCACGGCGCATATCGGCATTACTCTGTGCCAACGCAGCTTTTCGCTCTTCCAGCTGGGGGGCTTCTTTCGTCACTACAAGGCCGAGCATTTGGTCTTCCAGACCTGCAGAAAACAAGGATGCACTGCCTATACTTCCTAAAACTTCCCAGACTTTAGGACTATTCACGCTAGTCCTGCGGTCTACAAGGAAGTCGCTGCAGTCTCCCCAGAAGCCTGGCGTCCAAACCCAGCTCCAAGTGAGTGCTGAACAACCTTCTGGGGTAATCGCAAAATTAATGACCGTTGTCTTGACAAATATATCAACAGAAAGCTTTGGATTGGGGAGTTTAGTCGTCATAAAAAGTCTAAATGAAGGTCCCCATGGAATGGATTTTTCTCCCAGCCTAATGGTGTAGCCTTCAACATGCAACACACCGTCCTTGGAAGCCTAAAATACAACGGATTTCCCAAAGGCGATGTACACTGTCTGACTCACGATTTCCTCAACAGGACTGCCTTAGCAGTTCACCTGAACCACTCTTCGTCTTTTGTTGCAGAAGAATTGGGTCGAGTACTGGATCTAAAGTCTCTGAAACGTTTTCAATGAGGACCCATTTCCCAAGTTGAATGGAAAGTTCAATCTCCCTCGTGAAAGTAGCATCGGATAACTTCAATACCTCGAAGCCAGTCTCAGTGGCCTTGCCATTTCGCTTAATAAAACGGTTTGCCTGGCCCTATGCAGAACGAATAGGCGAACACAGTTCCCGTGGTAACACTATATGAGCTTGAAAAATGATGTGCCATAAATCCACTTTAAAGGCAGTCACTCTCAAATACCGTGCGCTACGCCTGGATGCGGTTAGCTCACCTGAGGGTCAATCATGAAGGACCACCGCCTCGTTCGATCCATAATTATGCCATTTTGAATAGATAACTCATCATTTGGCAACCCCCATAGGGTCCACTGTCGAATAGTTACAGGGTCGCCTGCGCAGCGTACCATCAAGAGATTATATTCCATGTTTTGTCACAGCTTCTGTGCCACGTATCAATCCCTGCGCTTTTACGGAGGGGCATACCGAGAAACTGCTTGAGTCCACAAGATGGCTGGAAGGGCAGTTGGTGCAGACGCAGCAACTCAGACCACTGGGCCTCCAGTTCTCCACGATATGCCGCTGTAAACGGTCCAGCATATGTTAGCATCCCTGCACTGATGAGGGCATGGCCTACGTAGACAACCCGAAAAACAGACCGACTACGCAGAGACGTCTCCCTTGCCTCTGCATCCATGCCGTTGGGCACGAACCCCTGTGAAGGCGTGGCGTTACTAACCTGATATATAACTATAGAGTTCCTTAGAGAGGCATGCCTGCTCTCCCCAGCGGTGCTTTTCGTCAGCAAGGCCTAGCAGAAGGGGTGCTGCCCTCTGTATTTTCTTCTGGCAGCTTTGAATCTCCTTGGTCAGTTGTTCCTATAGCGCCACGCACCAGTAACCCTTCGTTAAGAGCTATTAATGCAGGTATTTTGACTATTTTGAGAGGCCGTTTGCAGACTGTTACCACACAAAAAGATGTCCGTTGTATTCTGACTGTGTCCCATTTGCATTTGCTCCAGCATCTGGTCGCATTGTAGCATGGCGTATGACTTATGTGTGTCCACCTCAGTGAAGCCACTGCTGGGTGGTATGTGTGTGCCAAGCGCACAAACGACGCCTCGCAAGGATGGTTTGGAAGGAAGATAGCTGCAGAACCACTTTGTAAGTGGACAAGATCACCTTTTTTTCTACAGCAAGGGCAAAATCAGCAGCGAGGCGCTCTATTTTATCCTCCACCTCTCTGAGCCTAGCCTTGGTCTTGTTGAGATTATCTGTGGTTGCCAGCAATTCTGCTTCTGCCTGCTGCAGTTTTGCACGCTTCGGCTCCACAGTCTTTGCAACGTGGTAGTATTTAAACATCGCTCGAACCCACATACAAATGGCCTCGCATGCAACGGATGCCTTGCGGATGGCTGTCGGGTCAAAGTCGGTTCTTTCAATATAGGGGCCGATAGTTGCTATTATGGATTCCGGAATATTGTCCTGTTCGACAAGGGGTAAACGCGACTGAAAAAGTGTCGTTTGTCTCTCATACTGTGACAAGGATCGACGGCTTGTGTTCAACCTAGTTTTGCGTGACAACTCCAGCTTGATTGGTATAGGCGAAGCTTTGAAGGATTCTGGTCAGTAGTGACGTTCACGCAGCTTCAAATAAGCAGGTTTGAGTGTTAATAGTACTGACCTTGTCATACTTTAGAAGGTCTTCCAGAAGTTTTTTTGGGTCCTTCAGGAGCTTGTGTTGAGCAGATTCCCAGTAGTCCTCAATCTTTAATCCAGGCCTCGAAGGGTCATGTTTCTTCACTGGAGGCACCTGAAACCAAACAAAATGAGCATTAAAGGGATAGTGAACGCACTGCTTTGCTATCGAATTCTCATTGCCATCAAATGCGGCATCGACACTTCCTCAGCTTACCCCAAACATGATGCACACCGCTTCCATTGTAAGAATAACACCCGATGGAGGTTTCGATAAGGCCTTAACTTCTCTTATGTGGTCTGACTTCAGCTTTTTAACGCATTCCACAGCCTCTTCGAGTGCTGGAAGTGCTTCGTCCAAATCCCGTTGCGCATCGTCCTTGAGAGCTTGGGTTTCTGTTGCCTTTTTCGAAGCAGCGGCTTCATCCCGGGCTACGATTTTTTTCGTTTCGTCCGCAACTGCATGGTCTTGTTGAATCTGAATCATGGTTTTCTCCACCTACGAGAGCGTCCATTCGTGTTGGAGTCCTCTACACTTTAGAAAATGAAGTATAAACAGAGTCTTCTGCCAAAGATACTCTATCTTTGGCAAAAGACTCTGTTTATACTTCATTTTCTATTCCACATACCACATTGTGTAGCCATACTTGTCTCAACGGGCCGCATCTAGCAGAGCAGAGCAGCAGTTCACAACCATGGTGCACAAAACGACCAGTCACCCATTGTACTGCCTGTCACCTACGGAGCTCACCTCTTCTGAGGTAGCTTGTAAGACGGGCTGGAGCTCCTGGAGTTGAGCCTGCATCTCCGCGACCTGTTTGGCTGTTTCTTCCAGCTTACTTAGTCCTTTCTCAAATCTTTCTTGAACGGTGACTAGTTCAACTTGTTTAGTGCTAACAAGATTAAAAAATGCTGAAAGCAATTCTAAGAAAGTCGTTGGTGTTGCATGCATGGCGCGACCAAGCACTTCCCTGTAACGTGCAGCGGTATTTTGGACTCCTCGATGCATAGCTTGTAGAACATCAAGGACCTGGTCTTGAGATGCTATCAGTACCTCAGACTTTTCCATTTGCATGCGCGCTACAGATACTAAAGCTTCTGCTGGCCACTGCAAAGAAATCGGAGCAGCACTCAAGGCAGGAAATAACTCGTTTGCTGGTTTCCCTTCCCCCGACCTAAAACTTTTCGTCGCTTCCGCGGCTAAGGCGAAAGCTTCCCTCTAACACGGTGAACTGCGTACCTCAGAAAACCAGTTGATGGTGCAGCAGTTGGTCAGAGAAGGGAACATCCTGAGCCAAGTGCGAAACTGTATTCCCAAGGGGCTCATCGCCAAAATGATATGGAGGTTGGCCTTTACTTTCTTGACATATGCATTGAAAACATTTCCCTTCGTTGGGGATACACCAAGCTGCTTGCAGTATACCCTGAAGGTAAGCGCGCAAAAATCAGCTCACCTCAGCATACCCAGGTCAAATGATGCCTTGGGAGATTGCAGCCAAAGAAGAAGCTCACCTACAAACCTTCATTATTTCCTCCATGTCTTCTTTTTTGTAGATATTCGGAACATCCCCATAATTCAACGCGCTGTTGATGTCTTCAAGCATAGATTCCCCCAGAACTTGAGAATCACAAAAGAGGAACGTCTGTGGCTTGTCCTCCAACCCAGATTTCATAAAGCACTTCTTCAGATCTTCTCTCCATTCCGTCATCCCATAGCCTGCGAGTGCCGACGCTAGATGGATACGTCAAATTGAACGCAAATGGCATGCAAACCAGGCGCGCATAGCTAACAGAGAGGTATCTAAACAATTGATGCGTATCTATTCTTTCGAAAGACCTTTGGTAGCGTCGATCTGAAAGCACTCCGTCTCCATGATGAAAGCAGCAAGGCGGCTAAGCGACTGTCGCCCGGAGCCTCTTACTCCCAAGAGAAGCGCGTGCCCCGACGGCTGCCGAAGTACGCGGCAGATTCGCGCCACATGGGCACATGCGTCGCTGAACATCACGAGCTGTAGGGGAACTGCGAAGGTGTTGTTGTAATCTTGCATGTAATCCTCAACTACTTGCTTGAGCTTTTCAGCAGAGGAGACCTCCTATGACACACGTGCCAGCGCTCACACGGTAACCTCACCCACCAGCACGATATTAGATAATCAAACATACGTGGGCCCACCCGACGAAAATGGTTCGTTGGCTTGATTGTGTCACTTTGCTAGCTTTCGATACGTGCAAGAAACAGCTGCACTCACCAAGTAGTACCTATTTAACCCCTGTCCAACAAAATCAGCGAAGATCATGGACGCCATCTCCTTTACTTCAGAGAATTCAATATCAAACGTTCGTTTGGCCTGCCTTTGAAGGAGGTTATAGAACCATATCCTGTCCTCATCGTCAACAAGACGGTCGCAGAAAACGCGGCATGTTTCGTGAACCCAGCATCTGATGACCTGAATATCTCAGACCATACGGAGTGGAACCTTGAGCAAATTTGCAAACTGTGGGCGTTCTGCCCTAATATTTAGTGAGATTTGTAATTAAGAAAGTGGAGAATTTCGTTTGCGGGCAGAACATGTGTTTTGGCTACACAAATACAAATATCATGCCACCCGACGCTTGCTTGTTCATGCAATGCGCAAGGGGGTAGAATGTAAAGATAGCCAACAACAAAAATGCTAGTTGAGCTAAATTTTAGTTTCACGGTGGGTGAACATGATTGCCGAAAAAGATTGTTAACCTCGGCTCACAGCGGCGGGTTCCTTCACTGCTTTCGGAGAAAGAAATGCAAGCCCTTGAAACACCTTCCAAATCTCGCGCATGTTAAATGTATAGTGGGACTTTGTTGGAGTTGGAAGCAAGGTTTTCGTGACTTCTGCGTAGAGGTCAATGGTCGCGAATACAAGGGGATCCGTGAGGGCCTGAATTGTAGCCAAATGCAAGTGTTCCTATACATGTACTACATATATATATATATATATATATATGTAGTCTTTGCATGTTCACACATATATATATATATATATATGAACACACAATGACTGACCCAAGCAGAAGTATTTGCCACCCTTTGGCATGCACGTACAACCCCAGTTTTAAAAGCACTAATGGCTCCCATACTCAGCTGAACATATCGGTCGAGCGGGTTGCATCTGGAGCTCCATCAGCAGGCAGACAAATAGGAAGCAGCAAACAGCAAATGCACTTTCATCCACTATATGCGCGTTATCTGCAAGGTTTACTTGAATGTCTGGGGAAAACTGCTGGAAGCAATGTCTATTGAGCGTTTGGAAAATTGTTGCAATTGAAGCTCGTTGGAGCTCGTCGAACGCTAGGACACAGTAATGCCTCAACAGACGCGCAGATATTTCGTTGCGCCCGCCTCCTGGGGGACCCATGGCAGCCACCATGCGCACGTCCACAATTTCTTGGAAGGTCAAACCTTTGCGATCATACCAGCCTCTGTGGTCGAACCTGAACAACGCGTAGCACGGTGGCGCAGCTGTTCCTGTGTAGCCGCAGTGCAATGCTGCATCTTCTCAGATACTCTGCTAGGGGTAAGCATTGCTTACCACTGCCGCAGAAGTTCTAACGGAGGCTGAGCTCCAAATTCTTCCTTCCGCGGCATGTTTAGGTCATCAATGAAAAAAATGCATGTCTTGCCAGCGGGCGGGCCAAAAACACCTCTGCGTCTCTTTTCCAACTTTGCTTCCAACAGATCCTACGACGTGCAATCCAGGTAAGTAGGAGGTGCGCTACCTCTGAATTGTGTTTTGTTCAACGGCGCAAAGGGCGGGAAGTGGCCGGGTATTGGTTGTCTACGCCATAGAAATTTCGTCGCGTAACAGTGTGGGGTGCTTGCCGCAGAGTGTACACGTACCTGCACTTGATTTACCCTAGTGTGGGCAGAAAACGTCATTAGATGTGTTTCATAGGTATCCGGCAACGTCAGTAGGAGGAGATCAGTCAAGTTGACGGTTTTCCCAGTCCCAGTCGGGCCTGGGCAAATTACACTATGGCCGTTAAGTAATAACGTAGTAATCGAATGGGCCAAGCGGATCGAGTCTAAGGTTGGAACCACTATGTTCTCGTACGATGCGCCTTTCGGAACAACAAATAATGGAACTGTATCCCCCCAAGGGGTCCACTGGTGGGTATTGATGTCATAGCAGAAATCGTAGAGGCTGCAACCAACATCCAAGTGCCCAATATCAAGCCCGAGCTCCTGCACGCGGCTTTTAAGCCAATCGTCTATTTTCTTTCTGCCGGGACCTGACAAAAGCCAGCGAAACCAGAAGTCGTCGTTGTTGTCTTACCCATCCAGCACGTGCACGGATTAGTCCATTAGCACAATAAAAACTTGAGTAATGACATACCGTCCGCTGTAATACCGAATGACCACACAAAGCTGAAGATAAACGCAGCCGGGAGGCGCCCATACAGGGCGTCACCATGCTCTGAGTCAGATGGCTTGTCTACTGGACGGTAGCGAGAACAGATGGAGCCGAGCATTCGAAGACACGAGGCACACAGGTTGGAGTTTACAGTTGAAACGACCTCCTTGCACTTTTTCCTAAGAACCGCAATTCCTCCTGGGAAGATGCTGCAGGACAATTTTTCAATGAGTGTTTTGTGCGTGTCTTTAAACGTTGGAGGGAGCGCCTTCAACCAAGAAGCAACTAGTGGAGAAAATCCAAGGACCTCTGGTTCCATATATACCATTCCACAACGACTGACTGTTGCAGGCGAGGCTACGGATAAGTCTTCGACCTAGACCCGCACAAGAGAATTATTCTCCGCATGAGAATTAAGTACTGGAACAGCTGTCTCTGTTCGGAGCTACAAACGCTGCCAGTAAACAATTATGGGAATGGCATTCTGAAGCGCGGCATTTCACACTTTTAGGCTAGAGTTCATCGCCTACTTCAAACATCATTACTGTTCTGCTCGTGAGCGAAATGATTTCCCCTGAGTTAAGGCACAGCTTCTTGTTGTCGTCCAAAACGGAGTTCATGCTCTCAATCCACAATGCATCTACCGGACCGTCAAACATGATCCAATGCTGGTCGGAAGAGGTGTCGCGGATTGCATGACGTATAAGTGCCGCAGCGAGACCATCTGTCCATTCATGTGTTGTTTCGTTGAAACATCCATATAGTTGCCCAATGGTTACGGATTTCGGATTTAGAACGTTTACATGCACCTACACATCGCAGTTTGCAGTACAAACCGGTGTCTCCCTACCAATAAGAAGATGAGGCTCCGAGAATTTTCGGCTGGCCGCTCCCGCGTTAGAAGAAGAACTCTCGCCTCACCTTTGCAAACCCTGGGTTTTTATACAGTTCGCTCATTGCGGCAGCTAACAAGCGGTAACTGCTCGTTTTGCCTCCTCCCGTTGGGCCTACAAGCATGAGACCATGGCGGACCTGAACTGTGTCGTACAACTGCATGACCTTCCTCATGAAGGGCGCCACTGGCTGTAGCTTCAGCAAATCTGCCTGGCGCAAGAGTGCTTCCAGAAGAACTTGGTTGTCGGCACGGGGCACATCGATGCCGGGAAATAGGTCAGCTATGATGTTTTCAAATAGCGGAAGGTCATGCGACAGGAACTTTGGGAAGTTCACATCTTTTAGTGCCTGCAGAAGAATCATCTGTTCATCCATGGTACTGTGTTTCCTCTTCAGAACCCCTGCGGCATTAATGACTGATCGAACCGCCCTCATGCCATAATCGTAGTGATCCTGAGAAGAAAGCTGCTCTGATGACAGCTTAAATGTTGCCACCATCTTTGTTGCTAATTCTCTGGCGTGATCGAATCCAAAGCTATACAGCATGATTTCCGCAATCATTGAGTAATCGGGCACCTGAGCGTAGATATATCGTTCGACAAAGCGATTGTGTCAACGCCGTTCACGAGAAGAAGCAGAGGACAGCAGACGCCAAGCGGTCCCATAGGTCGATCCGTGCTGTTAAATATGTGCGCTTTCCATTGCATTGGTTTAACGCAGCTCCTGGTTGCCTCACCATCATGGCCATAGGCCTGAAAAGACACTTGAGATTGTCAGGAAGTTCTGTTCTTCCGGCGTATCCAGGGTTCATGGTAATAAACACGTTAAACGTTGGCTCCACAAGTATGCGCGAGTCTTCAAAATCAATCTCGAGAGTCATCCCATAGCCCTCAAGCTGAGCTTTTGCCCCAAAAAGCACAACCAGCTGCTGCGCTATGACAGATAGGACCTGCGAGGCAGAAAACAGGGCGAAGGACAACTAACTTTGCCGGCATGTCGCGCTGTCCTGTGAACCCGAGGCACGCTGTGGGATAATCATGCTTACACGAAACCTACTAAAGTACTTACTTCTATGTTGATTCGATTGAATTCGTCAAAGCAGCACCAGGCCCCTGAGGAAGCCAATCCTTTAAAGAATTTTGCGATCATTATGAAGTCCATCATTTCCGAGCAGTTGAAAACTACACACTGGGTTGCCAAGGCCTTGGCCAAGTCCTTTGTTGTTTCCGTTTTCCCAGTCCCTGCGGGGCCTGCCAGCGATCCTCCTAAGGCAGGAATCGCACCCGCGCGCATGTCTGCCATGCTTTAATACGTTGAAAAGCCGGCGTCATTAAATGCACATATCAAAATAATACTCCAAGAAGCGCACTCCGATTCCTTACCGAGGTTTAGCTGCTGAGCGCTCAGCAGTGTCATGTAGGCCATGTCTGTGAGTGGAGTGATCACCAACCGGAAGGTGTTCCCGAGGTATTCGTACCCGTAAGGGAAATCAGTTTGTACACACTGAGCCCAGCAATTGTCATCTCTCCAGTAATACCTCAGCTGAGCAATCCACTCAAATGCCTCCACGCTGGACACTTCTTCCTTCCACAGGCGCTGCACGATGTCTTTGGCGTGGACGTCAATGACAATAAGGGCCCCGATGGTGATGCTCTGCATAGAGCTAAGCCCCCTTCGGACAAGCGCAACCTGCAAAGTGCAGACGTACGCAAGAACCGCTACATGCTTGTTCTACGCATTAGTTGCTTCTGAGGAACTATGCTAGTTTTATTTGCTCATGAAAAGTCCTGGCTAATTTCTCGCCGCTCAGGTGTTCTGAGCCACGCTACTGGCATCGTATCAGCAACTCAAGAAAGGGTCTAAACACTCCCCTACGATTGAGGCCACGACTAAACCGCTCTTATTTTAAGAAGGAATTTACCACTGCACGATCTGAAAATGATTTGTACTGTGACGTGAGCATTAGTACTGGCAGTGCTCCACACTTACCAAATCCAGGAGTTGCTGCGTTTGAGTCTCCATAAGGCTCTTAAGCTGCCCATTTTGGATCGCATCTTCTACCAAAGCTGTCCAATGCGTTTGGCTGCCATTCAGGACGCACTGCCCAGCGTGCGTCATCGCCCACGTTGTCCGCTCGGATATGGGATAGTCAAGTATAGCTTTGTGAAGTGATTCCCTCACTGACAATTTCATTATCTGCTCTAAGTCTTGCATCCACGTCTCGACGCCTCTGCCTGCCGTTACGAGGCCTTTGACAAATGCCATCCTTTCGCCTGAAAAGCAGTGACGGTGGAAACTGTGATAGCATTTGTCCTTGTTGTGGGCGGCGAAACAAGGCCGGTTCAACAAGGGAACGACTGGCCGTGACATACCTTCCGCAGAGAACATAGCGGTGGCCACAAGATCCGAGGAAAACTCCAGCTCATTCATGTTCTCAAAAACTTTGCATAGGAATGGCTGAACCTTTAGTGGGTCCGTCGTTTCCGACAAAATCTCAAGCAGTTCATCATTGGAAAGGAAATAAAATCGAGCAAACTGGCTACGTTTGAGTTCGAGATATGATTGCAGTTCTTTTTGTACACGCTCTAATAGCCTGTTGTTCTCGCGGAGCTTGTCCAGAAGGCCAGGAGTTGAGCATGCTGTCAACACCAGGGGCTCCTCATATGTGTGCCGCATGAGCACTCTCCACGCGGTATCGACTGTGAAGAACCTGAATTCAGAAAACACTAGGCCTTCAGGAATGCAGGTGGAAAGGTTTATGGGTCGTACCATCTCTGCGTTGTTCGTCGAAAAGTTCTCATCGTGAATTCGTCGTAGTTGCGGCATGTGCACTGATACCGTTTTGTTTCTGCAGGAAGTTGCTTGGGTATGTCAGGTGAGTGGAAGATCGGCTGCAGGTACAGCCAAGCTCTCTGGCACTTGAGCCACTCATCAAGGGTTTCGGATGCCTGAGATAAAAAATAAGTACCACAGCAGATATATTGTTGAACTCTGCCCTCCACGACTAATGCAAAGCACTTTCCGGGAATGAGAGGCTATTGTGCATACCGTCATGATAAGAGTTGCCCACTCATCAATCTCTTTTTCGAGTGGCTTTTTGTAAATCGAAAACTGCAACCCTTGCGTAGTCATAATATGCTCGTCGAGCAATCCAACTATTTCTTCTGTGCCTTTCAGGATGTACGTGTCTGTGTCCTTGTATGTCTCGGGGAAATCGAACTGGATGTGCTCCCACTCTGCTTTCATCGTTTGAAGAGCCTGATCAGAAGAGACGAATTCACGGTGACGTCAGTTGCTTGTCAGTAGGATGTCACCAAAAGCATTATCTGCTACCTGCTAACGTTGGGGTATCCATGGCTCACGAATATATGCCTTCAAGTGCTCGGATGTGCTTACCTTCTCAAGGTAGCTTTCCTTCGTCGCTAACTCTCCGAGTTCGACTACAAAATCCGTGCATTCTGCAATGCCCTTGTTCAATAAAGAACCTAGCGTAAGACTGGCACCCTCGTCTAGTTGCGGCTCGCCTATGCGTTCAAAAAGCTGCGGTAATGGGCAAACAAGCCTTTCTAGTGTCTACTGGGCCCCACATTTTGCCTGTGACTGGTTTAGCACAGTTCCCGAGGAGCACTGGGGGCCACCAGTAAGATAGATGCTCACTTTACTCCAATGTCGTTCACGCATTCCGTCGTTTCTTAAGGAAACAATGATAGGGACCAGCGGCTTGAACTCGACAAGTTCGTTCGTGACTTGCGAGGCTCTGGCCAGTACATCAGGAAGGCCGCGCTCCTGCAGGATTTTCTCCACCCGTCTAAGCGCTTTTATTCCCCCGTACACCTGCACCGATGAAATGCGGCTGAGACAATTGCCATTGCCGTTGGCACCCCTTGAGAAGGTTTGCAAGCTGTTACCCTACGGCGCTCTTCATACTAAATTGTGGATGAGGAAGAAGCGCCACCGGACCTGCTTCTCGATTTCCGTGCCGCTTAAGCTTGCGAACGGAGCAGTGAAAATTGACTTTCGCTTGGCGCTCCACTGGTACGCCGTTGACCAGAGGATTGAGAATGGCTCGAACTCCTGCGCATTTGTCCAAGTCGACTATCAGAGCAGTCAAGCCCATATTCTGTTTTGCTGTGGAGGTATTTGGGCCTAGGGCATCTCAAACAAACCTTTTGTATCTTCGTTATGGAAGTATAGTCCGTCACGTCTCTCCCAAAAAGACGCTCCCTGTGGTTGAACACTTTGGCCTGCTGAATGCTCATGTCGATCCTCTCCCCAACGGCAAGGACGCTATCATATACCTCGGCAAGTTTCGACATATCCGTGAAGTTGGCAAAGCCGGCAACAACGTCAGTAAGGTCAGCAATCGTGGCTGCGAACTCACTCTGTCAGACACCGGCACCACCACCAGGACCAGAAACATATATACGCCAAACCGTCAGGCCTCAAAAATGTTGAAGAGTGTGCCGCTGTCCCATTTCGCCAGCGTGCATGCATCTCAGCAAATGGAGCATTGATAAACAATCTATGGAACGGGTTCCTACTATGGAACGGGTTCCTACCTGCTGGACTAGCATATCATCCAGGAAACGCGCTCTTTCTTTGACAAGGGATGAGGCCACTTCATTTGACAGTTCTAGGATCTCAGCAGGTGACCCGTAAAGCCTCCAACGCAGGTTGTGATCCTCCACAAGGAGCTGTACTAGAAACAAATGAAAAAGACGTGCGTTGGGCTGTAAGTGATCTACACAAGCTGCATGCGTGATGGTGCTACCTGTCCGTGTGCTGACCGGCGTTCCATGCCCTAAAGCCTATTATTGGTACCAAGCTGTTCTCACCCTGTATTTAAAGGATTCTAGCACATCAAATATGTGCAGCGCCGCCTTAATCTCGACAGCGAGGGCTTCGAGTTTTGCTGGGGTATCGTCCATAAACTCCCTGAGCTCTGTAAGCTCTTCGATTCCCGCAGGCTGCTGCTTCAGTGTTGCGATAATCCCCTTAAACTCCTCCAGTGTCTGCTTGCACTGGTCGCGGAAGCTGCAGCAAGCGAAAGCAGCGTATACCCAAACAGCGCCGTGGATTATAGAAGGCAAGCCCTGCATTGTGGATGCGCTTTTGATGAAATGCCCCCGCGAAGCGACTCTGAATAATATCCGGAAAACTCAGTGGATTCATAGCTATCTCGGTTCTATTTGATCAATCAGTGTCAAAGGGAAGCCCGTTTCCATGATTTGTGCTCGGTTTGGCGTCATGTCTCACCGCTTTGCCAGTACATCAAGAAGAAGCTGTGAAACGCTTCGAACTGTCGATTTTAAGCTGCTCTTTATATCTTCACAACCAACACAAAACAGTCCAACGACAACCGAAGTCGGGATATCCTTCTCGATTTGCTTGATTCTCTGCGAACGAAAACCACGGCCGAATTTCACGCTCCAGAGTTCATCCCGACACAGGTTGTGTGATGGCATGCAGCACCGCTGGTTCGGCGGCTCCAATATAGGACCAGCAGAAGTACAATGTCAAACCCGGAGGGAGCTCCTGGTCTACGCGGTGCGCACCTCATGGTATCCCAGGACAGCGTGCCTGAAAATTTCCGCTACACAGCCTACTGCAGCTTTTTGCTCCGTTTCGGCCACAACGTCAGCCGAGGAAAGGCAGAGAAGGTCAACGAATGGTTGAAAATGGTCGATGAGTTTTTGCAGAAAAGGGAAATGCAGTTCGATGAGCCTCAAAATTTTTTTTTTGCTTTCCTGCATAGAGTGAAAGCGGAGAATCAGTCCACATCGAAACAGCGGATTGCCGATGTTCTTCCATAGCAGTGCGGCGAACCTATGCAGGTAACACTTCGTGTCACTACCTAGGAGTATGGGGATGCGAAATAGCCATGCTCCAAAGTGCAGCCACAAGAAAGGTTCCACTGTGGTCAGGATAGGCTAACAACTCATGCGAAATGCAGTGGTTGCACTTCACCTGCACTGAAGGTTCTTCTAATCCAAGTGGGGCGGTAATGTGCTTTTGCTGACTCTTGAATAGGTGCGGAAGAACTATTGTTTCTGGTTGAGGTATGTCTCCCATCCTCGCTATCCTGCAGAGGCACACAGGACGAAACTATTCAAACCAGATGATCGTAATCTCAAAACTACAAGGCAATGCACGTGCATCCAAAGGCCTGTGGGACTTGCCCTCTATCAAAGAACTCGTCAGTGGCGTCTACAAAAGCTTCTGGTTGAGGCGTCAACACGAATTTTGATCCATCAGGAGAGCGAGTAATTTCGACAAAGAAAAGGCCTTTCCACGAAAGCTTGCGCTCTAGGGACTTTACGCGCGACTCTTGGTAGAGGTTTTGGACGTCAGAGAGAGACCTGATGTTCACTGCTTCAGGCGTCGATGAACCAAAGAGCCCCACTAAGTCCTCTATCGAACGCGTTGCCATAACCCTGAAAACTTCACATGGGTCGTGAACAAGAGCTACTTAGCACAGCACGAACTCCAAATCATGAAGACGGATGCAGGCAACGTAGATGCATTAAAAGATTTTGAGGTAGGATTCCTTACCGTAGGGCATCCCTCATCAAAAGTCGGGTCAAGATGAGCATTCGCTTGATTTTGCCGTACTCGTATGTTTCTTTATTGAACTCATATATGTTGAACCACCCTTTCCCAACATGACGCAGGTTGGAGTCGATTATTTCGTGGAGTTTAGAAGCCCATGCTTCTTGCAAAAAGTATGTGACCTGCGTCAAGAAGCGGAATAGTTTCATTAAACAACAAACTTTCCGGCGCCCACGATTAAGGCTGTGATTTCTGTGGGTTTTGCAAAGGTCCAGTCTAGGGGCCATCGGAAACTGTGGCACCGCAAACCTGACTTATTGAAGCCCGCTGCATCTGACGAAACTCATCAAGTTTTACAGCCTGAGAACAAACTGAGAGCAAGTAATGCCCTAGAGCATGGCCTCAGGAGAAAGCCATTCTAAAGCAGACTACAAATGCGTTACGCGCTCGCTTCGTACTCTTGCAAATGATGTATTAAAAATACGTTTTTCCAACACGTCCACGCATTCTTGACGGATGCCGACCATGGCCCTTATGACTTCATTCTTCACGTATAAGGAAGTAGAACAGAAGGATGCGAACGCTTTCGAGAAGTCGTATGCTGGAACAGCGACCAAGGCATGCCTGCAGGGAGATGTACCAGCAATGCAACGTCAGGCGGCGCAAATGATCTTCAGGTAAGACTTTACCTATGGCGCACAAGCCTGGAGTTGGGGAATTTCCCTACCGGCACCAAGCGCAATAAGGAGAGGTGCAGAAACTAGGTTCCTATTGCCATCTTGATGCCTGTATTTGACAAGGTGCTTTCCACAATAACTTTTTTCTCACCATGACGGTGGCCGTGGTTTCGGGGGTGGGGGTAACTGTAAGTCCGTCCGCAGTCGCTTGTCCTTATCTCGGTCAAGAAATATGTCAAAAGCAATTTTGTTCATCGTCCTAGCAAAGTAGGTGTTAACTTCTTTTAGTAAAGAATCTACAGTGACTGTTCGGCAGTGGCGGGTCCTAGGACAGCTCAAGGCCTTATGCATCACTCGTTTTTGCTGCACCTCGTCTGCAGGGAACAATCAAGAATAAAGCCTTCAGCTAGTTAGAAAACAAGCCATTGCGGTGGGTGAGTGGCCGTGGATGCTGGACAACCGACCAGGTGTTGAACAGCAGTCTCGATGCAAACGTACCCAATCCGGGGATGTCACTTGTGGGCATGTTGTCTATGTAGTAATTATATTGTATAAGGCTCTCCGCAGCTGCCCTGTACGCCAACGATCCACACCAAATAAGAGCATTAATGGACCCAACAGCCGCATTTGAGTGTTAGGATCACCGAAGTCAGCCCAGCGTCACGTCTACTGGATTCACACAAGGGGTGAATTGGAAACGACTCAGATGGATGCACATGCGCTCACAGACTGACCTTGACTTATGTGCTGCTTGGAGCCTGTCAGCAAACTTGACTGGGTCCTCGCTCTGTGGAAAATAGGACAAGCCAGGGTTCGTTGGCTACCAAACCAGCTGCGCAACATTTGCTGAGCGTTCGAGCGCTCGTGAGCATAGGGAAGGTGAGAGTACCTTGAATAAAAGTTCTATCCTCAGCAACTCGGCTTTGTCTTTGCGATCGCACCACTGAACGTGAAATTTGCTAGAGACCTCATCGTATGCATAGACACGGCACGCTTCCCATCTGCAATCTCCCGCGTCATCTCGCCGTAGGCCCTGTTTCCACAGTTGAAGGCAGAGCTTGATTTTGACGATGCATCAAAAAATGACGATAAGAAAGCACAAATTGCATTGCCGGCCCACGGGAAGCTTGACCGGGCAGGCAGGACTACCTGCTCTTACGGATATAGATTTGTAACAATCTCCTTTACGCAGATAAGGGTCCCACCTTTCCAGGCAAAGGCAGGAATGCCCCTTCAGGACTTTTGCAAAGAGCCATCCATTCTTGTGGTGAACGGTCGTCAAAAGTTGTATCATCGAATGGCTCAAGTGGCAGCCTAAGAAACGTTGTTTTAGAAGCACAACCACCGACATTTCCCTAAAAGAGCACGCTCGCTTGCTCAGAAAGAGTGTCTTGCATATGACCCCATAGATTTGGTGAAGCACACCTCCTTCCAAGCGTTAAACAGAAATATAAATGCGGCACGTCATTCAATCTGGGAGTTCTAGACTCATTCGTCGCTCGTTTCCTGTGCTAACCAGTTCTTTCCTTCAAATGATGGGTCCCTGTAGTTAATTCCTCGCTCGATTAGTAACTGTTCTATGTCGTATGCCTCATAAGCCCTGCGCCTTCGCTCCACCGTGACCCTCCGGGGCGCGCTCGTAGGGGCATGGAATTTTGCCGCTATTACTTTTGGCTCTACCGGAGCAACCTCACATACTGGGGGCTCTACAAGGCCTGAATACAAGCAAGCGTATTTCCTGAGCCGGAATTGTGCAAATGAAAGCCTTCAATCATCGTTGGCCTGCCTCCACTGAGCATGGAAGAGCATTGACAATCCACATTTTACTCCATTTGGCAAAAAAGCATCCCGCTAGGCTTGCAAATGGCACACATATACGGTCCGGAGCAGTATCTTGACGAGACGCAAGCTACCGTCATGCAATCAACGAGAGATATCTTGCCTATGAAGCAAACCTTTAAATGCCGTTTGTGTAGGCTGAAATATTCTGGCAGGAATTGGGGAAACGAAAGAAGCCTTTTGTTCCCGCGCTTCGTCCGGGGGCCCCCTGGACGCTTGCTGCAATATTCTCAAACAGGGCACGTATCAGATTAAACTGGGCCCTCCAGCAGAAGGCGTTTCAACCTGGGTAGATGGGTTCATTGAATAACTTGTAGAGGCTCGATTCTCAATGATACGCTAAAGTAAGTTTAGGCTCAACAAATTCTAGCTTGCAGGGGGCTGGCCAAAGGCAAAGGTGCACTTCAGGCGCGCAAGTGTTAATGCGGAGCACCTTTTACATGGTCGCATATTGCATATAGGATAGACCCTATCTTCTCACTTGTAAGCCGTCAGCCTGTTTATCTTCAAGGACCTCCGAGTAAATTCCCCGTTCCATGTACTTGGGAGCTTCATGCCCTGCACTACGGTCGTGAGCGCTCAAACGATAAGCGTCAGGTTGGGAAGAATGACTTGGGCAGTCGCTCATCTTCATTCGACGTGAGCTCTCGTAAATGCACCTTTACGTGAAGACGGACTAACCCTCTCTGTTCTGTCCACTCAGACAGTGGCTCTCCGCATGCGTCTAAGATCTCCGCGTTGCTACATCAGAGCCGCTTTCCCCATATTTTCTTGAATGGAAGTTGCAGATTTTGCTGCATCCCGGTAATGCTGGGCCTTCCTGGAGGCACTAAATACAGGTAGGATGGCTATATAATAATACAAGACACTGCTGCTGAGGGCAACGGGCCTGATATTCGCTCGTTGATATCCCTACTGCGTAACTAATCAACCACCTATAACCGGCATGCCGCAGATTTTTTTTCGATTCGGCCCCTCAAGACAAGGATAGCAACTGTTTCGTGCTAGAGTAATCTGAAAAGCTTCCGTCGCCACAGGGCTGGCGAAGCTACCGCAGAGATCGGTGGCCTTGAAATTCAAGATTTTAAGACTGCAGGGCACTTATCTATTTGGAATGATATGTGGGTTTCCTCGCGAACAGCAACGGTACGTTGCCCTGCACGGCTGATCGCACAGCAGGCCGCAGCGTGGCGAGGACTTGTACAAAACGAAACTTCTGGGAAATTCTGGTTCCAGCCTGATATCTAGCTCACCTGATCATTTAAATACAACCCAATTATTAGTTCTAGTTGGGGACTGAAAACACTGAGTAGGTGACCTAGGGCGCTGCAGTTGGCCGACACGCTTGACCTTGGCCACTGCAGCAACGGCGTTCGGACGGTGATTGCTGAGAAGAACGACCCCAAACAGTTATCCTTACTGTAATTATTTACTCCGTGGCTGGTGTGCGCACTAACGAATGAGAAACATGGGCTTGAGTTGTTAACGTCAGTGGGGCTACTGGCTGGCCATGTAGCGACAGCCCGTAGCATCACGCTTTATGGCTAAGATATGCAGTCTCGCCTCCTTACCTCCCGATACCCTTGAAAAAGTCTAATTTATAAGGGCATGGCTGCTTGAGACGATGCTGATGAGCGGACATCAATGACAAACTTCCAGCTAGATGCGAAGCACAAGCACAGCGGCACCGTTCCGCAGTTAGGGGAGGGCCTATGCTCCCCACAGGTGACTAATTTTTTCGCCATGCAGTCACCAAAACTGTTTTGTACGTAAGCATACTGAACTGAATGCAAAATGCTGCCAACGTAGTCTTTGCGTATTCCCGGGCAAAGCCTCTGGCCGTCGGGATGGTTTTTTGCAACCCAGTAAGTTTCGCCCACGCGATGAAATCAGCGCACATGCAACCCTACATACGCACCACGCTTTTGACTGGCGTAGATCAGAGTGGTTATATCCTTCGAATACACCCACATTAAGCAGCCCACAGTCTCTAATTCGAAGCCCGAAAGCTACCCAGGGGAATTCTGGTTGGGAGGATGCTGGTGCTCTCGTGGTCGTGGAAAAATTACCTCATTTTTGCCCTCGAAGTTAATGGCGGTGCCACCATGATCACTAGTGAATGCTAATGTGCGCGTCTGACCGCACTTATTGAGAGGGGCAAGGTGATGAGGTAAGCAGCCAATTTAATACATCGCCCGATTTCCCTCGGGTTTATCATCGCAGGGTGGGGTGCACGTGCTACGGAGTTCGTAGCGCTCCGCTATGCCCACGAACAAATACAGCCAGAATGCTATTCTGGAAGAAGACCTTGGTACCAGCATTGACTGAAATGCTTTCAAAGGACCCAGCCACTGTGCATCAGATGTAGGTGACTGTTGCTTTGTAGCGTAGACGTCAGATACTCTTGTATTGTCACAAACATAGCCATGTTTCTGATGATGCTTTCTACCGCAACGGATCACATGCTTGCTACCTTTGGTAAAGCGAGGCGCTTCTACTCGTGAAGAGGTGACGGCGCATCTAGTATAATGTTCGTAAGATACTTTTGCAACAGTTGCCTTCCTAGGCACTCCTGAATTTTCCAGTGACTCTGCGTTCTCAGCAGCATCGAAATTTTGCCTGGTTTGTAGCGGGGTCAACAAATGCATGGCGCTGCGCTGCCATTGGAAATGGAAAAACCCAGAGCCCTCGCTCGACGGCCCAAAAATGAGCCTGTTGCATGCTCCAGAAGCAACAGCAGTTTTAGATAGAGGTTACTATAGCTGCTGGCGATACTGTCTGCATCAAACAGCCACTCACCCATCTCCCACTCCCACTTCAACCCCAGCCCCCCCCTTTCATCAGCTGGGCACCTACCTCAGCGCCTCAATCAGTAGAGGATGTCGATGCTTGGCTGAGGAGCCTTGGTGAGTATTGTAGCGTCGTCGTTCCCCAGTTGTCTGCAGAAGTTTCGAAGTCTTCAGGTGCAACTTCTGGTATCCTCAGGGCCCCACTAGCTGGGGAGTACTCTTTCAAGCTTTTAAATGCGTTGGCGTCTTCCCACTGGGTAGTAACAGTTGCCATCAGAGTCTTGAAAACTCTATCTGAAACATAGAGGAAGAGAACTAATACACACCAGCATCTTGAAGCTTGGGTGGTGCAACCTTCAAAGAGCATCGGGTATTCCGGTGATTGACGTACCAAAAATATCAGCGGCTGGGCCTGTAGCGAAACTGTAGGTGGCAGATGCAAGCTCCTCCCCAAGCCTGTGGCTATTAACTCGGCCCAAAATGTTGTCTCCCTCCAGATGCATCAGGTACCAAGAACGGAGTGTCATTTCTTTTGAATTACCAAAGCAGTTCTTGAATCTATTGCTGATCCGAAGCGCAGCAAAAACAGCCGTTAAAGGGTGAGGAGGGCGAGAGCGGCGTGGCTTGTCGACACCTAGGTCAAGGATTTGCTGCACTAAGTGGTTCACATTGAGTGCGCTGACTCCTAAAGTGTTTACTATCCCTCCGTAAAGAGAGCGAGCTGCTCTTTTTCCGCCTTTTCTGCCAGAGGGCGCGTAAGCCACCTTTCCTCCAGCATTGACTGAGGCCACAACATGAGCAGAGACGTGCAAGCTTCTGCTGTTCCATTCTTGCTGCTGGCTGGTGGATCTACATGTTTCCATATTTGAACTGTCGAAATGACTCTACACGCTCGCAGCCAAACGCGTACTCAGGCTTAGACACGTCTTCATCGGTCGACCTGAACGGCATACGACAAAAGGAGATCGAATTAGGGCATCTTCACTTTCTGCTCTCCCCGGACAGATCACTCGAACTATCAGCGTGAACTTGTTTAAATACCTTGCCCCAACTTCATCCCCCCCGCCCTCGCGCGAACGTACCAGAGAAGTGTTTATTTAGTTCCTTTCTCTTCCTGTTGTACGCCGCTGCATCCTCTACACCGTTTTCGTCAATACTAGTGAGAGTGTAGTCTCCAGCGTTTTTCAGCCTCTCTATGAGCATGGAATGGGCAAGGCGGCCATTCGCATGCTCGAATCCAGCCTCTACTTGCTGCTGCTGCCACGCCGTAACAAAGATGCCCACTGAGGTGCAGAGGGCTGCTGCTTCTGTTGTCAGAGTTCTGGTATTTCGATTGACGTGCTCAGCAATGGCAGAAGGGAAGAGAAGCGACAATCTGAAGATGAGATCTTCTGTCGACTTTAGTGCGTCGATGTAGCATCGGTCAAGCGCAGATGACCGTACACACAGGCAATTGGCTGAGCAGAACATATCACACTGCGCTTAGGCAGGGCGTGCAGAGCAACAGCTGCAACTGCCTTAGGGTTTAACGAGCGGCGCTCTACATCGACGCAAATCGAAAGCTTCACATACTAGCTACTAGCAACCGATGATGAGAGGCAAAAATGCATCTTACTTGAGGAAGGGAGGTAGAAGGGCACCCTACTGTGCGGACCTGAAATAACCGTTACACCGCAACGTGGCAGCATTCGTACAGTTCGTCCCTGGTGGCGAAAAATGTGGGCCTAGTGAAGCTTTGCGAGAGTCACCGAAGGGTTGAGTGCAAGATAACTCCATTTGTTTGACAACTTACCGTGCACCCTGTCAATAACTGCCTTTATTTGCCCCCATGTAGCGGTTTCGGATACTGGCTCTCCGATTTCGGCTAGCCATTTCTTTATGGGTCCTTGGAAAGCTCTTACTTCTGACTCAGGAAAGACCAACAACTCACCATAGTGGTCGTGAATAAAGAGCCAGCACGATCTAGTGAGTGCGGTATACTGTGTGAAGATTAAATACCTCGTCACTTCCACAGTGTTTCCAACTTACCGCGCAATGTCAAAGCAAAGGCTTCTGCTTCCTCGGCGCTGTTAGGCAGCCGGGTGGAGGCCCATCCGAGCCTTTTGCAGACCCGACCATAGATATCCGGCATGTTGTAGCTGATTCGTTTGGTAAAAGGCAACGCTCCCTCAGCAACGTGTCTCTCCGGAACTATACGCACAGCCATATCACTCAACGTTTTTATGCCCCGTTGTTGAGCCTTCGACTCCTTAGCGCCGCCTTCATCCTACACGAGTTTTACTGAGATGCAAATGAGTTCCAGAGAGCTTACTGCTTCGAGATACGTCCGAAGAAACAGAGTCCCAGAGGCTTTTAAACAGATTGAGGATCTCTCCAGGAACCAAAACTACACCTGAAATGTCAATTGGTGATGCAGCAACTTGCCCAGTGGCCGAGGCTTGCCCATTGTATGGTGTTCAGCTACGTGCCGATATATGCCCTCGCCATATAAGAAACTAAATATTTCGTAGGCATAATTGTGAAAAAGACTTACTCGTTGCTGCTCCAACAAATTGTTTGGCCTCCACAACAGTTTCCGGCAACTTGTTTGCTGGCCACGACAGTGCTGTTACAATAAGTGAATACTTTTCTGGCTCTTGTAATAACCTTTTAGCGTATTCCCGCACCTTTTGTAAGATTTCGGCGTCTCTGTCTGAAAGAAAAGAGAACAAGCAAACCAATATTACGTGATAGTAAAAAATGCCCCTGAGCAGCACTTGTAGACGGCAGTGCAGTGAGGATAATATATGAACAAATGCACTACAGGGTTTCCTCAACACATAGGCGATATTTACCGTCTTTCTGACTGCTTGTCCCTGGGCCTTTCAAAATATTTTCAAGCAATGTTAAACCCCATTTGGTCTGGTACCAAAGGCCGGCGTAAAATGCTGAGCCTGAGGAAGGCTTGTGACCCTTGGCAGCGACAGCCGCATCAATCCCGGAATTAGCAGCAGCCGCTTGATCCCTGGCCTCATCGCGGAATAGAAAATCTGCAACAGGGCGATCCCCGTTTCCCCTCGACACGCCTAGAACTGCGGCAGAGGAAAAACGGGAAAAAACGTTGCAGGAAGACATCCTCTTCGATACTGTAGACATGCTATACTCAGCAAGGGACGCTCGCCTTCCGTAATCAAGTTATAAAAGGGCCCCATACTGGCTTACGGGAATTCAGAAGCTCGCGTAGATTTGGGGCCGCTGAGAGAACAGAGGGTTTGTCGCTCAAATCTGCTGTCGCAAGCTCATCTTCAATGCTTGCCGTGAGAACTGAAAAAACAGACGAACAGCTGGGTTGCTACGTCGGCTCTGCAGGAGATTAGGATAGTTCTTCATTCAGTAACTAACGGCAAAGGTCATTAGTGTTGGGCCCACCTGCTCGCGACACCCTACGTAAAATAACATAACAAAAGTGCGAACCTGGAAAGAGGAGGGAGCGCAGGTATTCGTAAATGGCACTTCGACCAACTTGTTTGATCTCAGGTAGTCGCCGCAAAGCATGCATTTCGCCGTCCCCCTCAGCGCACGATGTGACGGCGTCTTCCACTCGAACTAGGCAAAGAAATTGAGAAAACCACATTGCGCAGCGGAAGGGCAAGGAGGAGGGCTATTTGCAGTAGGTGATGGTACAACCATCTAGCAAGTACCTGAGGCCCTGCAATGTGTAACGGCGAAGACTACTAATGATATTTTAGCAAATTTCAAACTGTTATTCACCATTGCAACCCTCAAGAACAACATCTCTGAACTCCGCGGTGTTCATCAGGGAGGCGAAATCTGCCACTGGAGTTCTCTCTACGATGCTCCTGAGGTAGGAGTCCATTCCAGGGCAATATGAAGAGTTGCTTCTTTCTTTCAGTGCCATGCCGATGATATGCGCATTCAGGCAGGTAGTCGCGTAATTCTTCAGCTGAGAAGCATGCTTTCTGTTGGACGAATCCCCGGTCACTGCGCATGACGATCACTCAACATCACTTTCTACTCGAGCAATGTAGCGCTAGCGTCTAAGGATCTTAGGTGCTGTGGCATTTTCCTATAGGGGCGGTGCCAAGATGAGATCTGAGACTTTGAAGGTCGAAGCAACTCTAAATATCGAGTTACAGGGAGAAGGTGAGACATTAGGACTTAGTATTAGCATCTGAGATTGTGTAGGGTAGGTTTGATGCTGATGCTCACACATGGTGGAGTGAAAGTCCATTTCAACTCCTAAAAGAGCTAAACTCGTGGACGTTTCCGCTGAAAGAGCAGAGACAGAACCGCTATGTGTACATTCTGTTTGGCCCATACCCCGCCCGATGTAACTTAAAACCACTGCCGACTTCTCTGCGACAAGAGTGAATTGGTGTGGATTGTACTGCCCAGACAACAGTGGAGCAGGTCTTACCGAAAGCAAGGAAATCTTGCCCCCTGAATTCAGCCCAAGAATGAGAGTCGGGCATCGTCTCACTATTAATTCCCAGCCCTGAAAAAAGGAGTGCAAGATAACAGGACAGCACCAAAAAAATGACATGATCATACTCCTAGTAAGGGACAGTCCATCTCAAACTTCAGCCCGATCTAAAAGCCACTCGGGAAAAAAACTTGCACGGCTCCAGTTACAGAATGACTTCTCTGTTTTGGCATCTTCCAGCTGTGGGTCCATGGGGCTTATCTTTACGGTGCAAATCCTTCAACTCTACTTTGCTCGTTCATGCAGCACCTAGCTCACCTTGGATCTTTACGTATACAAAATCCCTGAACATCACTGCTCTGCAAAAACTGCATCCGCCTTTTCCCTCTAGGCAGCTGCTGCAATGGCCGCTTCCAAGGATCTTGTGAAGAGTGTGGACAGCTGTCCCGAGAAAAGTTATGCGGTTGGACAGGGGCCGGTAGAGAGCCGTGGTGTCTTCCACCATCAAAGCCACACCAATTCGCAATTGCAGAAGCAGTCCTTTACTTGTGGGAGAATCCAGCATGTTTAGTGGAAGTGTAAGCACCACAGAGTGTTGCCCACTGCCTGCACCATCCCAACCAAACACACCAATCAGTATTTAATCTCAGATAGCCAAAAACGATTTCAAGCCATACTGCTGACTTCAGTCGGGTGGCGTGTTGGCGTTTTGCTCTCTGTTTCTCTAGTTAACTCACTATCGGTATATGTCCAGGTCACGATGACGTTTTTCGGTCTTCCTCCTGGAACCATTCATTCACTCAGAACCTATATATTAACCTATATATTCTTGCGATTTCTGACGGAAACGAGCACACTAATGCATTTAAATCTATCGCTGTTCTAGGAACCCCGGCGTTCTGCCTACATGCAGGCCCCAAACACAATGCAGTGCTAAGGTAAGGGAAAGAAGAAAACACCTGCTGGCCTGTAGCGACTCAACATATTTGAGGTGAGCTCCCTAGCTGCGCCATTAATCTTTGCTGCGGCAAAAATTTCGAAACAACGTCAGCAAAAAATTATTATTCTCGCAAATACTGAGAATCACACTGATGCTGAGTTGCTTATGAAGGCAAAGAAAATGCAGCTGTGCTGTTGGCTATATCTTGTATGTGTCTCACCTATTTTTTGGTTTATTTCGAACAGGGCCTCGTCAACACCCTGTCCTTCTACTGAAAGAGGCGCAACAACACTAGCAGCAAGCAGTAAACGCTCACGATGCCAGAAGTACCATACACTGCCAACCGCAGACCGCTAGATATCCTGACATACCTTTGGAGGAAAAGTAATCGCGCAGCCTGAGCAACTTGGTAAGCATGTCTTCTGACTCTCTTCCTGCGTGCAGAGATTGATTTTGCACCGAACTTAGAAGAAATGCTTATCTGACTCGGCGCCGCGCGTCACCTTGAAGCTAGGTGGTGCACTACGAGTGGTCAGAGGGTCGCCTACCTATGGCTGGTATTCCATGCGGAGCTGTGTTGTATTCGGAGAGGTCGCCTGAGCAGAAAATTCAATCATCCATAAACTGTAGGCATGTGCCCTACCCCTGCATACAGTCTCCACTTTCCCATACGAAAACTTAGACAGCGCTGGAGACTTACGCTGCAAGAGCAGGGCCTCCGGCACAGAGCCTGAACAAGAAATACATTAAAGAAATGCTGTCTACCTAGCATACTTAGGAACATCCCATGATAAGGTTGAACCGCATTGGCAAAACACTGTTTTCGCCAGAGAACTTGCAGAGAAGGGTATCTGGAGGTCCTGGCGCCTTGCTTGGCCCATGGGAGTGTAGCAACGCCGTTGTTCAACTTACCAAGCAAAATAGATGATCCTCTCTGCATTTGCTGCACCCTGTATTCCAATATTTTTTCGTCGTTTAGTGCGTCTGGCGTGTAGAAAGTCAAATTAGGGCCCCCAGCAAAGATGCCATCCTGCAGATAGCCAATGGAAACCATCTTGTCATCGATCTGCTGATATAGCACGGCTGCGCCTGCTCCGTTTGAAGACTCGGCGATGGAGATCACGGCTGGACCGAGCTCGGTATCATCAGCCATGGCACCTGAGCAAGAAAGGGAGATGCGAGCGTATGCTCTCGGCGAAATTGACTTACGGAGCTCCTCTATTACAAGTCATGCTACTGCTGGTCTCCGTCAGTAAAGATTTAATAGCAACAAAGTGCGGCAGCGTTGGATTTGGCGGCACCACAGCCTCTGCTTCTAAAGGTATTCCTCACGGATCTCTTTTACGTGAAGATCGAAAGGTGTAGAGAAGGTTGGTTGATAACTGAAAAGTTTAAATATCATTTGGGTACTGCTTTCTTCAGCAAGCGCAAGAACAGTTCCAGCTGGGACTTCCATCCACAAGTTGCTACCGTGAATTTTCATTACCAGTGCCTCCCTCGCAACGCCTTTGAGAGGAGAAAGCGCGAGTGTGTGGCACGCAAGGGGAGTTCCATGCTCTACTTCAGTGTGAAGCATGTAGTTGCGCTGGTATGGGAGCATGAAATTTCTTGAGGAGCAGGGGGCTCCCAATTCACTTTCAGCGAAGGTCTGGACCTTAACTGAAAACCGCAGCATGCAAATGTGAGATTCAAGTAAAGGTTGCGCAAAGAGGCACGCCAGCACATTGGAGTCAAGCGAACAGGTCTACGCATGCTGGGTTAGATCACGAGTTTCTGCTGACCTGGAACAAAAGCCTTGCTGCCCCCAATAAAGGCATACGAAAAGACATTTTCTCCCCTGAAGCTTCCTATTACGGGGTCAAAGCGTTTCACGGAGAAGAGCGGATCCTGGTTGTCTTTTAATAAGTCGCAAGTTGCAGGCTGCCCTGTTAGCTTTGCCTCCACTGGTCATCGCAGATTGCAAAAAGAAAAACACAACATCGCTGTAAGTAGGCAAACAAAGCCGTCCGTGCCAGCTCCTGGCTGACTTTGAGCAGGTGCATCGAGGGCGCCAAGCGCGTGGGCATGTAGGGCAACACGCATTCTACTTACTCTGCTGAGAATGAGGCATGTTCACGTCGCTTGAATGCACATAAGGGTCGAAGTAGAGTAGATTATTTGATCTCTTGTCACAATATATACTTGGCGCCCTCTTTGTACCGGTGATTGCCACCGCTTGCTTCCCCATAACAAGAGGTGGCGTAACCTCGCAAAATTGGAGGTCCCCTTCACTCTGAGTTACAATGGAGTTGGACGAAGGATCAAATTGACTCGGGAAATCCACCCTTCCAAACGGTGTGCACTCTGACGTAGGACAAGCAGATCAGGCTGGCATGATTGGCACTCTAGCAGTTACTGGCTCGAACACCTGCAGAACCCCCTCTTCTGAACAGAGTGTTTCTTGCTAGTGGAATGTGTAATAATTGCTTAATCGGTTATTGTTTCACCTAGCACCCGCGCAACAGATGCCGATATGTACTTGAGCTTATGGAGCTTATAAAAAGGGTGCACTTACTCAACACAGTCATGTCTACTTCCCCCTTGAACTGGCCGTGGGCGTAGGAGGAGGCCAGTAGTTTGACCTCAGAGTGTCCTGCACACGGCAAAAGAGGAACGTGCTTTTCTGACGTGCACATGACCCTGATCATCACATCTCTGCCTTTGGCTACTCACGCTCCTGCCTGCAAGGCTACAGCCAATGTGCAAAAAACATATTCGGCCTGACCCTTCACCGTATGCTTGAGGAGGCTCCTTTCAGAAGACTAATAGGTCTCTGCACTTTATCTGCCTCTCCAACGGCTACCCTTTACCTGAATGTCGAGGGGTCAGCTGCAACTTGTCCCTCATTGTGTGCATCTCCACTTTGAAATACATTGGGCCCTATAGCAAAGTGCCTGCACCCACTTTTGAGGATACTACCCCCACTAGGGTAGGACAAATAGATGAGCTGAGTGCCACTTTCAGCTGTTATGACGGTCGAGTGGCGAAGATATTCCACGGCGGTCTCGTTCGGCCGTGTGAAGCACCGGCGATAGGAACGACCGTCGCAGAAGACGGAAAGACCGGAATCGGTGAACACTGCAGAGAAGCAGGGGAGACAAGAATACAGGTGGAGCCCTGAATGCTTGACAAAGTATCTTGAAACTTCAGCGAAATTAAGACCCACCACTCTCCAAAAGGTCTCCTTTCTCGTAGTTCACAACGTACAGCCGGAGGCGATCAGCACCAGCTGCCTCTCCAACGTCAAGGACAGCTGTGCCATCTGGGACTCTTCCTGTTATCTCTGCATCCTCAAAGAAGAGACCGTCACTCCGAGTAGTCACTCTGACGTCTTCGGGTAAAATGGCCTGGGACGGCAGCACTTGGCGCACAGCCACGAAAGCTGAGTAACACAGAAAGGAAAACGCACGGCAGACAAACAAATCCGATGTAATCCAAAACCAATTACTAGAGATACTCAGGAACGGTGTTGAATGGGGAATGCAGAGGCTCCAAAAGTAGACGGACAGAGATATACCCTACACATGTGAGTCTGCATTGACTGGCTAGCGTGAATGTGTAGGCAGCTGCACAAATGATATTTTTCCTGTACCGTTGAAGTGAAATTGCCTTCAGAAGGCCCTACGATATGCGCGGCGTCACCTCAAGACTATGCACTCTCGTCGCTGCTTACTTGTAGTTTTTGTGGAAAGGGAGAGAGGGAGAAATGCCGCAGCGACAACAGCCACGGTGCCTAAAAGGCCCAAAGTCTGCGAGAGCCTTAGCTTCATCATGAGCATCCTTCTCTCAGGGCTTGCTCCAAAAAGAGAAATTTAAAACAAATGAGCGAATGAAACTGTACAGGCGAAGGCAGGCAGGCGCTGTAGCCCGAAGCCCGGCAACAACCGCATCCATAGGGTGATGAACCTCTTGCAGAAGTGTAAGGACAGATACGGAAAGACAAAGGAGAAATGGCTAGCCTGGAGCGCTCGAAAGAACCGGATTGTCTCAACAGTTTGGCCGCTGGCTCTAAGGCGTTAGGCACCTCCCGGCCATCCGATTAGAGGCCGATGCTAGACAAGGTCAATGTCTGTGGATTGTGAAGGGCTTTTTTGGTTTGGACGATATCTAACGAACAGGTTTCTGTGAAGAATAGAAACAAAGAAGCTTGGAATAAAGGAACCCCGCCAGGGGCCGGCGGTCACCGAGGCCTGGTCCGCAGGTTTCGGTCGTTTGGTACTTGGCCGGTTCTTCCCTTTGTAGAAAAACAATTCATAAGAAAACAAATAATAACGCAGGTAAAAAGAAAACGAACAAACACCTACACATAGCTGCAGGGAATGAAGCCTACAAGGACCGTCGACTCTCATCGGTCGGCTGCGCCCGGACAAGTCCCAACCGATATATGCAAACCACCCGAAATCGTTTCCCAATACATCCCGCCTGGTTGCAGTTGAACACCTCCGATCTTTGATTTTAAATGGTTTTTCAAAATAAGAGAGGCCATCGCGAAGGGAGTATGGGTACTTTGTGTTCGTGTGTCCATGCTCCCCGGTTACGTAGAAGCGGGGAAGCAACTCTTCTCTGCGGCGACGTTCCCTCTCGGTCATACGTTCTTTGAGCTTTGCTAATTACGTACTTGGCGCAAAATATCAGGAAGAGAGGGACGGAAGAACGTACGGCCGAGAGCCTGGGTAGTCCTTCCAATGTTTTCCATGGGATAGGGCACCGGACGCGTAATGGCACAGTTTACTGCACTACGTAGGCCCCTTGCAAGCGGGATTGCGCAGATCGCACGAGCTTCCCTGCTTTCTGTGGGTACCGCTTCAGCAGCCATTCCTACCCAATAGGCTTATGAAGCGTCACAGCAACGAGTAGGCTGCAAGAAGGTGAACCAGAGACTAATGACAGGACAGCTACCTACCTATCCCCGTAGAGCCCCATCCCTAGCCGGGCATCTGCTCACTGTAGGCAGACTGAGAGAAAAGGGAAGCCAGAGAAAGCCAGCTACGCCGGGATTGTGACTTGCCTCTCGTTATCCCAGCCAATGTCGGCAACCCCACTAGTACTGAAATATAAGTTGGTTTGCATCGGTCGCTTCAAAATTTGTCGCGTCTAACAAAAGATGCAGAGATGCAGAGAGTTTAGCTGATATACAGAGACCAGCCCTTCACTGAACTCATAGGTGAACGGAAACAATGAAACGCTCCTGCCCGAGCAGCTCCGTTCCATGAGCTCTCCCGCAGATCAAAAGGTGTTCATGTAACTCTCCGTAATTAAAGAAACTAAAGATGGCTGGACACACAAATGAAGACAAGAGAGAGTTACCAAGCGCCTCTCGTGCAAGGGAAGTCCTGCGGAGGAGTACCGCCGCGTTCAGGCCTGACAAGTGACATCCCCTGAAGTTGTACGGCAATGATACCTTGGTGAAAAGACGCGCATTCTCTAGAGAGAGAGAGAGAGAGAGGGAGAGAAACTGGAGGGCCCTAACTCTTCGGGCGCAGAACCAGCGCATGTTGTTTTCACCCATTTATAACAAGCGCATTGGAAGCAAACGACAGGTCAGGAGGCGGCGGAGCCACATCACCACTGCATGCGATCACGAAGACGCTTGTTTGCTCTTCTTCGAAACACGTAAGCTACGCCGCACGCCGCCTCCGACCTCACCTGCCAAATTCAAACCATCCCCAGCAGCAACCAACCCCTTTCCAGGGTCCGTAAGAATACTGTCCTGTGGGCACGGTTTTGTGTGGCCCTCAATGCCTCGGTCACCGAAGTCTGTGGGACTCTGCTGAGATGACAAAGGGGAGCAGTGAGCTTGCAAACAGCCCTCCCGGAGTGTCGCCGGCCATCTTGCTGGTGCGTTGGAAGGCGGCCCTGCCGTGGAGCGGCTGCGGCCCCGACTCGACTGAGGAGGTGGGTTTTGGGGTGTCTTGACAGCCGAAAATCCGCTAGGTTTCTGAGGCGGCTGCCGTGCACTCGCCTGCTTCGTGTGCCGGCCTGAAGCAGAGGGCTTAGCCTGTGTTACGGCCGCAGATTGTGCGCCCCGCGACTCATCGCCGGACTCCTCCTGCTCGCAGTCGGACACCAAATTAAGTACATCTTCAGGTGTCAACCCGCACCACTCATCTTCTTTGCTGAAGAGAGAAGGCGGCGGAGAGTAGGCACAGCCTGAGAGCAGGCAGGCGGCCTGCAGGCACGAATAGGCAAACGAGTAGCTTCAGTCAAAGGCAACGTCTTCTGCAGCTAATTACGACGAGCTGTTCAGCCCAAATAACATTCCGACGCTGAAAAAGATTTCCGTAGGGGTGCGCCGGAGTGCATGCGCATGCCAAGAGGTCTATCGACGCTGTTCTCTTTTTGAATATATACGAATATATATACCTGTATGCATTTCATAACTAGATACGCATTAATATACGCATTGCACTTCTTCCCACTGTTCCGCACTTGAGAGGCGCAGAAGGCCACAGAAGAAAGCAACGCGCAAAAAGACAAAAGAAAGCGCTAGGCCTCACCTCTCTTGCAAGTTCCTCATCGCGACCGCTTCCTATAAACTCTCTCCACCCCTTTCGCTCCCCACCCAAGGCGTCTTCCTGAAGAGACTCCTGAGGACTGCGCTTCCGCTTCCGCCCCTGTTTCCTCTTTGCTGCAGAGGCGGAGGCAGAGGACGGACTCTGTTCCTGCCGACAGAACAGCGGGTGGTTGTCAATCTTCAGGCCGCGCCGCTCAGCGCGAGGCGGCAGCAGCAAGTGCAACAGCGGCTCCGTTACCATCAGAAAGCGATCCACAGTGGCTTGCTCGCTAGGGCGAAGACAAGTCTACACGCACCAACAGCAGTAGCAGCACAGGCAGCAGCAGCATTTGCAGAAACGGCCCCTTCACCAGCCTGCCCAAGGTTTCGTTTCTTAGGAACGATCCGATAAAGCCCTTACAGCACAACGTTTATCTACCGGTACTGCGCTGTTGTCAAGGGCACCTGCCTGCTGCTTTGGCTATTTCGCGCGGTTATAGGGGACAGTTAGGAGCAATTAGTTCTATCTGCTGCCTTTAAGCCATCTCCGATGTCTATCTCTGTCTGCGGTTGCCCGGCCCCTGCTTCTGTATCTCTGCTCCCCTCGATACAGGTGTCTACTCTGACACTATTGCTTCTCTCAACGGTCCCTGTCTGTCTCTGTTCGACCTGCTCTGTCCTCTTACCCGCGACAGCTGACAGCTGCAAGTCAGGCTTTCGCTAACGCCTGCATCCAGATGAACTGCAGCGGCCTTTCCCTTTATGTCGTAGTGCAGCGGCCACCCGAACTAACAGTTCCGCAGAAACAAGCAAAACAGAAAGAAACGAGGCGAGATCAGCTCAATCAGTTACAACCGCAACATTCGCATACACACCAAACAAAGAAGCTCAGACGCATGGAGGCAGGAAGGCAAAGAGCACAGCCGGAAGGGAACTACTTAAACATACACAAACGCCTTGTCTCAAAAGCACGGAAAACAGTTCTGCTCCGTGCTGCTGCTGTTGCTGCTGCTACTGCTGCTAGGATAGTAGGCGGTTCCCTACGTTCTTGATGGCTGGCAGGAGCATCCAGCACTGCCTGGGCCACAAGTCGAGGTCTCTCCTGTCGATAAAGACAGACTTGAAGCTTTGCACCCTTGTTTGCTGCTGATACTGCTGCTGCAGCGGGGACGGGACGTAAGTGAACGCCTCGAGCGCAAAGGCCTCCACGACGGCGCGAGGCAGCATCACCTGCAGCAGCAGCCGCGTGCTGCGAGCTGACAGCCGGTGATTTACCCACAAGGCCCGCAGCTGCCGCTCATTAGAAGCGAGAGATTCAATCAGGCAGCCGCCAAACACCTTGGAAAACCCCACCGTGTTCGGCACCTGCAGCAGCAAACAAACCAAAAAAATGCCTCCAAAACCCTCAAATGCACAAACCCTCAACTGCACAAAACGTCAATCTCCAAACCCTAAACCTAACTCTACACCCTAAATTCTGAAGACTCGACAAAGATACTTAGGCAGCAAAAGGCCTCTGGAAGGAAGGGGGGGAGGGGGCGAAAGCCAATGCAGCAGAGTTGAATGGCGGTTCAGTTGCGTTTCAAGTGTAAGTACGGCTGCGGCGTCCGCGCCTAGAGAAGCTGCTTACCTCGTTTTTCCCCGAAGAAGGCTTGGGCCGGACCTGCTTGCTGTGCACCGTTAGCAGCAAACCATCGAAGTCTTCACACAACAACTCACGACTCAGCTGCGGCAGCTCAGCAGCAACCGCACGTGGCAGCGGCTGCAGCCGGAAGGGCAAGTGGCGGTTGCGCGGATCGCTGGGGCAGTTGCGCCCGTATGCTGAAAAGCAAAACCCTAAAACACGCTAAACCCTAAACCCTAAACCCTAAACAGCAAAAAGAGCCCATAGCTTTGAAACTAAACCATTACTTTCACTCATGAGGTAAAGAGAGGAACAACACGGCAATGAAAAAACGCTAAGCACTCAAACCCTGTATTCCTAAACCACAAACCCTCGGCCCCCGCCGCCCCCTTCACTGCAGAAACATCCACATTCAAAACGCGGAGAAAGCAAAGAATTAGGGTTTAAGAAAGGGTAGGGTGGAGGTGTGCACCTGAGAAGCTCCAGTTGGCCTTTATCCGTTTCGCGAGGAGCCGCTGGTGGTTAAGTAGCTTCAAATGCAGAGGGTAGAGCTGCAGCTGTGCTGCTACATCTGCCCAGCTGCTGCAGTTCGGCGGTAGAGACAGCGGCAGCCGCAGCAGCTGCAGCCGCATGCCGTGCCGATCAAACCATGCATCGCTTTCTTCAATCAGAAGCCGCTTCTGGACCTCGCGCCAGTCGCCCCCCATCCCTCGAGGTGTACATCCAGCCCATTTGATGCCTTTGCTGCGTCTGCAACTACTGTTGCTGCACTCGCCACTGTTGCTGCTACTGGTGCTGCTGCTCTTGCAGCTGTCTCTACTGCTGGCCTACGTGCTGCTACTACCGCTTCTGATGTTATTGCTGCTTGTTCTGCTGCTGCTGTCGTTGCTGCTGATCCTCCAGGCGATGCCGTTGCATGTCCCACTGCTGCTGCAGCTTGGGCAAGTTGTTAAGCCCTGTGCCGATCCCACGGTGTGATCAGGCGGAGGTCTCCAAAGCCCTTTGAAGGAGGAACGATATATGCAGAACTAGCATAAGGCTGCTGCTGCTTAGCAGCGCGCGGCTTCTACTGCACCCTCGGCACTATGTATTGAAATCGGGCGGCAGAGGGGGGTTACGAGGCAGCGGGGAGGCCTGTTGCAAATGAAACGTTAGAAATAATAACCTAAAAGTTTATTTTAAATTACAACTAAGTCCTTCCGAACGTTGCATGCGCTCGGGGATGGGTGAGACCAGAGTCTTTTCTAGCTGTCCATTTACTGCAGCCCCGCAAGGCTAGACCTGTCGAGAGTATCTAAGAAAGTTATTGATTTCTTAGTTGTAATTTTTATTTTATGAGGAATAAATGCTGCATTTTATTGAAAATAACAAACTTGAGACGCGTAAAAGGCGATACTACCATATGATGAACTCCGACCCCAGCCTCATTCATGCACGAGAGAATGGAGTGGCTGCGATCTATAGAAGACACTGCATATTTCCCCTGCAAAAAAACTATTTCAGAAACTGTACATTTTAAAGGTTTAATTCAGCAGAAAAAAATGTTTGTCTGGGCAAGCTCTAAAAACTTGCGTCCCTACCGACCCCGTACTGTAGCTGTATCACTGCAAAGTTTCCTTCATGCTCCTTCTCGAGTTGATGCATGTACTTCTACTTGCACGCATGTTGATAACTTGGAGCCATATAAGCTTTTAACAACTCTCTGCAGCGTTAGCGCATGCAGCATAGAGGGTTTGGCATGGTTGCACTTGCTTCCGGGGTTGCTTGCAACAACAGTTGTAGAAAGGCGTTTTGCAGCTCGTTAATGGCCGCTCCACCTCATCACCGGCCCACAGCACATGCGTCACTGTGCTTAGGGCGCCTGGAGACTGTAGGGGAGGCCATCTGCTGTTGGATGAACTCATATATTAACGCTGTTTAAACTGTTGCCTTCCATGCTGATCGTGTATAAAGACCGAAGACACTCGCTACACTGGATAGCAAAGCATGGTTCCTCAGCGGATGTGCGAGCAAAGCAGCTCCACAGCTGGGGATACATGCCACTGATTTATAGAGAAATCACTTTACAAAAACAGGTCAGTCTTTCCCCCCAAATCTTTGTCAAGCATTCAACCTTTTGTTTTCTTCTCTCACATTATACAGGGATCAACACCTGACCTCCGATATGACCTCCGGTGGGAAGTTGAACAACAACTGCTCGCCCCGTCTCATTGGAACAAGCGCAGTACCTACATCCCATCCAGCCGAAAATGTTTATCCAACAAAAACTACTCATGAGTGATGACCGTCCAGTTATGACGGGCGCTGCCATACGGGAGCAGCCGAAGAGTTCTTAGCATCCCTCAAGTTGTAGGCTCGCCTTCAAAGAGCACCGAAGAATTACAATTTTCAGAGGCATTTCCTTCACTAGAAAAAGCAGTCACGACGATTGCGGCTATAGCTGAACCAAGTAACAACTTTTCCCAAACAAATGGAAGCTTTCCGAGATACCCTACACTAAAGGGTCATTTACGTGTCGTCAAGGGAGAAGTGAAAAAACTGGTAAAGGAACCTCTCCACAGTGCTCTACATCGGAAAGTATTAGCCCTCAGTAGAAGGAAGGGAGGCGGCTCCGACGCAGCGCAAAAAAAAAGCTGTCAGAACCGACGGAGAAATGCACGCAGTCCTACAGGACGACATTATGAAGACCGCAGCTTTGAAACTCTACCTAGCTTACACCCGATGAACAGCAGAAAAAGGAGTATTTGAAAGGTCACTACTCAGAAGTAGTGAAAAACAAGGGGCTCAAAGCAGACAGACCACTCGCTGGGATGCTTGGGGATCCATCACGAGTATGCTAAATGCATTGCATTCAGCATACTCCTGATGGATCCCCAAGCATGATTCAGTGGTGCAAGCGAACCTCGTACCTTGGAAAGACAAAAAGCTAAAAGAGACGAACTTCTAGGGAAAGGCGAACTGCAAATGTCAACTACCGCATGTGAACACAATCCGATGTAGAGATAAAATGAACAGGCGCACGCACATCTGCGTCGACTTCAAACCCCTCAACAAAATATTCATGGTGAATGAAAACTTTCTGATGGCCCGGTTAGACAAACAAGCTGACTGCTTGCATGGTTTATCCGTTTCTTCGGTCAGCAGTCTATTCACTATTTGACAGATTACTTTCAGTAAACACAAGCATGCCAGCAGCAGTAAGGTTGGCAACAACAGGTGCACCAACAGCAAGCGCTACGACAGACACGGTAGCAGCAGCAGAAGCAGAAGCAGCAAAAGCAGCAGCCGGGGAAAGATGATGAGCAGCAGCACCGCCAAAGCCAAAAAGCCATAAGCACCTACAGCTGGAGAGTCCGGCACAAGAACTGCAGCAGACGGGGGACGTAGCAACAAGAAATACAACCGGAGGGACCGATGGATTAGCAGCACCAGCACACGCCGCCGCACCAGCGAATGCGGTAGGAGCTTTCTTCTCGGTCCACCTTAGGAAGCAGGCGTGGGGAAGGGGAGAAGATGTAACACAGAGGAGGAGGAGTGGCGATGAAGGGCAGATGCAGCAAAGTTTTGCTTGAAGCTGCTAAGTTTAGTTTTCTAGTTGCGCGCAGGTTGGCTACGGCTACGGTATTGCCAGTCCGCGATACTTTCCGGGGAAGGCCGTGAGCTGAAAGGGAGCCAAAGACCTAAGTTAAGAGTTCCTAAAGAGCAGCTTACCTTCCCTTCCTCCGCATGCTTACTGGGCAATGCGGCCAAGTGCTTGGGGCCGCTGGGGGTAGGAGACGGTCTTTCATGCGCTGCAGCGCACTTCACTGCAGCTGTCGATGCATGCAGACCCTCGCTCATCCCAACTAACAAGCCCCCTCTGTTGCATGCACTAGCAATGCAGACATTTTCTTTATCTTATTCCTTTGCAGGGAGTATGCATTCCGATAGATATGCGCGTACGAACTTCACACAGACAGTGTCTATGCTACTGAGCGACAAGCGTGGGTTAAACAGTTCCTTACAACGTTCGTGATTACATCCAAAGAAGACTCAGGTACTTTTAGATGCGGGGGATTCTTACAGAGGCACTTGCAGCGATGGGTGCTGCAACTTCTTTAGGGAAGTCGGCTTTTCTGTCTCTCTGCCTATCCACATCAGCCCCACCACACCCTTAGGCCTCTGCGCAGAGGGCGCATGGAGACTGAATGGAAGGCAACTGGCTATGTAGAGCTCTGTTATAAAATATTTCTCTTCTATTGCCGCTACCGACTGTCTTTCTTTGACGATAAAGAGTACTCCATCGCTCGCCAGGACCCTCCAGTGTGCGTACACCGCAGCTGGGGAGATGAACAGGGGTCTGCGAAGAGCTGAAGGGGTTTATTTGTTTTAAAATTAATTTAATGCTGAGAAGTTTGTTATGAATAGTTTATTTTTTTTTATGCATAGAGGGCTGGCGGGCGTGGGTGCCCGCCGCGGCGACCATTGAACGGCGGCGTGCGAGGAGTAAAAGGGGGCTATCTTTTTGAGTTTTATGAAGATTAAATAGTTTATTTATTTGTATTTATTGTATATTTTGTTTGTTTAGCGAATTTGAATAGAATAGAAGGGCTGCCCACCTGCTGCAGCACGAAGGCGAGGAGCGGATCCTGCTGCTGCTGCCTCAGCAGCAGCCGGGCGAGCAGCAGCAGCAGCAGCGGGCGCTGTAGCTGCTGGCTGCAGCAGCAGCAGCAGCAGCAGCAGCAGCTGGCAGGTGGCTGCAGCAACTGCACGACAGCGTATATTTCTGCACGTTTGCATGTAGGATTGTAAAGACAGTGCTTGGTACGGTATGTAGCTTCAGTGGGTCTGCTTTGCTGCTCGGTGCTGCAGCAGGGAGCAGCAGCAATTTGTTGTGCCCCCGCATCTCGCGGGGCCCTAACCCCACACATTTGATATACCCCTTGCCATGCTGAGAGCCGGCTTCTTTTTTCTTCCTTACGTTTTGTCGCTCTCTCAGCCTCTTCAATTCTTTCAGCGGTTGGGGGCCTCCCCCCTCCCGCGCCCTCACCTTGTGGGCCCACGATACAAGGCGAGCCGCCCGGGTAGCTGACGCTGCTGCTGCTGCTGCGGCTGCTGCGGCTGCTGCTACTGCTGCTGCTCAAGTTCCTCCTCCTGCTGCAGGCCTTCTACACCTAGGCACCCCCACAACCACGAATGCAAACGCCAACTGCAAATGCAGCATCGCCGCGGGGCCGCCCCCAGCAGCGCAGCAGCGCTCACGGGGCTGAGGGTCCAGACACTACTGGAGGGGAAGCTGATAAGGCAGCAGCAGCAGCAGCAGCAGCAGCAGCAACAACAGCAGCAGCAGCGGCAGCAGCAGCGGCAGCAACATCCAAACAACCAGGAGCGATAGAAATAGCAGGGGAGAAGGATGCAGCAACGACGCCAGCTGCAGCAGCAGCTAAGCCAGCAGCAGCAGCACCAGCAGCAGCAGCAGCAGGAGGAGAGAAGAAAAGAAGGGGTTTTCGAGGGCTGCGTCGTTTGAGCGGGGGACTATGTTTTGCTGTCTCCCCTTCGCGTTTGCTGCGTGTAGAGTTAGCGCACTTAATACCGAAAGAGCTGCTGCTGCTGTTTTACATGACCAGTGCCCTTCTAACAGGCTGCGTATACTTTGGCTTTCATTCATTGAGGAGAATGATGCTGATATCTGGGGCGTATGCATGGCTGTGCGACGAGCCTGTAGCAGGAGCAGCAGCAGCAGCAGGAGCAGCAGCAGGAGCAGGAGCAGCAGCAGCAGCAGCAGCAGCACCTGGGGAAGGAGACGACTCGAGCTTGCTGCTCTGTGACGCTCAAGATGCTGCAGTGTCTCCTCTCTTCACAGTAGCTATGGTGTCGCACTCCTTGATGTCTGCTGCAGCAGGTGCACTGTTAGATCGTGTGGGGCCTAAAGCAACAGCAATATTGGGTCAGTGTTTAAATGCATTAGGCTGGCTGCTGCTGGGAGCTTCGGGGCCTAACTTTCGTTGTTATATACCTGCTTTTATCTGCATTGGTCTCGGCACAGACACCTGCTATCTTCCGCTCTTAAAGATAGTCATGAGATTTGCTAATAGGCGAGGCACAGTCTTCTCACTCCTCGGTACTGCATGCACGGCTTCTTTTGGCGTCCCCTTTGTCTTGGAGACAGTCTGGAGTCAGCATAGACATTGGGGCTTTAATACTGTCTGCGGAGTGTATATACTCGTCGGCCCAGGCATCTGCATGCTTATTGCATTGCTCTTGCTGCCCTGGCACTGCAACGAGCCCCCGCAGCAGCAGCAGCAGCAGCAGGAGCAGGAGCATGCGGATGCTGCTGCAGCAGTGGGGGATAAAGGGCTGGCAGAGACTCCAGATGCTCTCGCCATTGAACCTCCTGCTGCAGCAGAGGGCCCACACAAGGAGGCGCCTTCACTCAACAAGCAGCAGCAGCAGCAGCAGCAGCAACCGTGCCCCAGCCCTAGCACCAGCGGCAGCAGCTTACCTCTCTTCTTGCCTCAGCAGCAAGAAGCTGCTGCAGACAACAGCACTAATCTCTCCGAAGGGGGGGGTATAGATTCCCCAACCACCTGCGCAACAGCCGTAGCCGTGCCAGCAGCAGATTACGACCCTGCAGCAGCAGCAGCAGCAGCAGCAGCAGCAGCAGCAGCAGCGAAGACAGAAGCGACGTCTCTGCAGCTATCGAAGGGCCGACGACGCAAGTGTTTCTCAGTTTGGCCCAGGCGGACCCCTTCCTGCAGCCGCAGCAGCAGCAGCAATAGCAGCAACGGGAGCAGCAGCAGCAGCAGCAGCAGCAGTTTTCGCCGAGACTTATTTTCTTTGCGTTTTTTGTGCATACCGTTGATAGCCTCTGTGCAGCAGCTATCTATATCTTACTTTCAGATGGCTGCCCCTCGTTTACTGGGGGAGGAAGTAGCAGACAGCTTAGATTCTTATTTATCGCTTGCTTTCGTCCCCTGTCTGTTGATAGGCGCTGCAATAGATATCTTCGGCATATACCCTATTCTCTGTCTTATGAATAGTTTGGGGCTGTTGGCTTATGCATGCACTTTAGGCTCTGGGGCTCTTTCAGGTGTACGTACACTGGGATTGATATGTTTCTGCGGCTATGTCTCGCTAGATAGCGAGCTTATTTTCTGCTGCGTTAGCAGCTTGTTTAGCAGCAAACACTTTGGCCGACTAGCAGGCATATCTCAAGCTTCAGGGGGGTTGATATCTCTTATTGCAATACCTCTCTATGATGCGGTGTCTGTACAGCTCAAGGGCGGTGATTGCAAACCCGTAGCTTCTTGTATAACTCTCTTACTCGCGTTTTCATATCCTATTATCTTCTGGTTAGGCTGGGGAGCTATGTGCAAAAGAAATGCAGCAGCAAGGCCGCCACCTGCTGCTGCTGCTGCGGCTGCTGCTGCCGGTGGTGGTGGTGGTGGTGGTGGTGCTGCTGCTGCTGCAGACACCTCGCAGCAACAGCAGCAGCAGTCGCCTGATGCCGCCTGCTTTCAGCAGCAACACCAACTCGCTGTACACATCGAGCTGCCTATACACCCCAACAAAGATAAGCAAATGATACAAGACTCCACACAGGCTGGGTATGACAAGGTCGCGCTGCTGCCTCTATCAGCAGCAACAGCAGCAGCACCTGGAGCAGCAGCAGCAGAAGCAGCAGCAGCAGCAGATCACCTCCCACTGAAGGCTATAGGGCACCAGGAGACAGAGGAGACAGAAGCAGCAGATTCGTCTTTCGGGGTAGACGAAAAGACTCAAACAGCAGATGTATGCTGCTGCGTATAAACGCAAAGGGGAGAGCAGAGACAACTGCAGCAAAAGGAGACGAACTGCAGCAAAAGGAGACGAACTGCAGCAAAAGGAGACGAACTGCAGCAAAAGGAGATAAGCTGCAGCAAAAGAAGACGAACTGCAGCAAAAGGAGATGAGATGAGCTGCAGCAAAAGGAGACAAACTGCGGCAAAAGGAGATGAGCTGCAGCAAAAGGAGATGAGCTGCAGCAAAAGGAGACGAACTGCAGCAGAAGGAGATGAGCTGCAGCAAAAGGAGACAAACGAAAGAACAGGCAAACAAACAAATGCAGAAAAATATAGATGGGTGCGGAGGGACACGAACTGCAGCACAGGGAGACGAGCAGCAGAAGAGCGGCAAACAGCAGCATAAAGAAACTAACTGCAGCACGAAGAGACAAACTGCAGCAGGGAGATACAAAGAGAAGAAGGAAGTGAACGAGGAAACAAACAGCTGGAGACAGACAGCAGAAGTACTTTGATTTAGGGCCCTCAAGGAGCCCTAGTTATGTGCTGCCCAGGTGTCGCCTTCGGGTGTCTCGGCACCTTGCTGCAGCAGCAGCAGCAGCATCAGCAGCAACAGCACCGCTTAGTGAGGCTCTGAACTCGTGCAGTGTTTTGCGGCTCTTTGGGCAGCTGGCGGAGGGCTTTAAAAGGCATACGCTACTCGCAAGTGGCGCTAGCTAGCTATTTAGCTAGCTAGCTAGATAGCTAGCTCGCTAGTCAGCTGGCTAGCTGTATAGATAGCTAGCTGGCTAGCCAGCTGGCTAGCTAGATAGCGACCGGCCAATATGCCTGTCTAGCTAGCTGGCTACGTGGGCATCTAGCTGGCGAGGTCGCTAGCTAGCTAGCTAGCTAGCTAGCGGCTTAAGGAGCTACCTGGCTAGCTAGCGAACTAGCTAGCTTGCTAGGTAGCTTATTTAGCCGCTAGCTAGCTAGCTAGCTAGCTACGGAATTAACTAGCTGTCGCGTCTGCACACAATAGAGGTGCAGATCGATAGGCGCTTCTACAGGCCTTTATATTTGTATATGCATCAGACCAGCACGTAAAGGCTGGCAAGCCGTAGCGTTCTGCTGCTACTGTTGCTGCTGCTGTTGTTGCTGCTGCTGCTGTTGTTGTTGCTGCTGCTGCTAGTGAACATAAGCAAGAGAGACAGACAGGACGAGAGACAGAGATGCAGATGCCGCAGCAGCCTACCCGCTTCTGCACTTAGCGCTTCAAAGGCAATTGGCCAACCACCGTCCAGTTGCTTCGCTGTTTGGGGTTTAGGGTTTATAGTTACATAGAGAATATATATATATATATATGTATATATATATATATATACATATGTATTATGAATGTGCATATATATGTATATATATGTAGAAAACATTGTGGGCCCTCTCCCTCTGTATATATATATATATATATAATATAGCGTTCACCGCGTCGCACTAATGATACGATACATATATATATATATA